TGTCTAGAATAAATGATGAAAAGAGACGGCTTTGCAAATAAAATCGAAGTAGGATTTGCCAATATAATGTTTTGATATATTTACGAATTTGTTAATCAACAGATTAAAAGTTATAACTTTGAAATTGGATTATGCACTAATGCACTATTATGACGTGAAAGGTCATTCTCCTAAATAAATGTTGTATTTTCTCCGACTAATCCGTTTAACACATATTATGATTGTTTAAGGCTCGTCTAGTATTTTAAAGTATATAAGTATTGTTTATTTTACTTTATAATCAGTCATGTTATGATAAATTTAGATACAGTATGCATTCAAACTATACGCACAAATCAACTGAGTACATGGAAGGAATTGATTCCCATTTTGAAAGCCTACAATTGAATTTAATTTGGTAGATCGCATTAACTGTATGTGATGAATGCTAAACATATTACATCTTTTATCAATTAACATAAATTATGTTAATGTTATTAAATTTGTAAATAAAATGATTAAAGTTCAAGACCAATCTATATTTAGCTTTGTCAACACATACAATAATTTGCACCCATACTAGGATTATTATTATACATCTATCTAAAGTAAAGATTTCTTTTTCTGTATTAAGGATAAAATATTTAATAATCCCACGGTCGTCAAATGTATTAAAATGTTTGAGACAAAACAAGATTTTCAGTTTCATTTTTATCTATCCAACTTTTTATTTCATTTATTAACACATCCTAAATTAAACAATATATCTATCCAGTCCGTCTTTAGAAAACAGGGACCAAGAGATAAAACATTCTTTGTCAACAGTTTAAAGTCAGATCAGATTGCATTTACTTGCATTCTTAACAAACAATATTCTGTGGATAATGTTCTTGAAATATATTTGTTTTGAAATTCTATACTTTTTTTCGTTCAAACTATGGTACCCTCATTACGCAAATTCAGTAAAAGGAAGGTTTAACACATACTAGGAAAATGATCCATGTGAACATAAATATCTATGGAAGTGCATTGTTAAACAAATGCATTACTTCTGAATCAAACCGAACCTGTAACATTTTCAATTTTCCCGTTTTTGGGCGTTCTTTAATTTTCCCGTTTTGGGGCGTTCTTTAGGCGTTCCATTTTTCTCTATATTATTTTGAAATTTTTGAATGGCAAAATCATTATTATAAATGTTAGCATTTTTCAAAACGTCAGAATGCAGTCAAATGATCGGTTTCAACTTTAACAATAGATAAACATTCATAATATTGCAATGACAATGTCTGTTTAAATATGCATATTTATGAACTACCAAACCCAATTCTTACTTGAGAGAAGTTTTATGTTATAACAGGAAAAATCTTATCGGAAATGGTCATCTATCGGATAATATACAAAAGACATGTTTATACTACTTTAACCGTTCAACTTTTCAATGTCTACTACTGTACACCGGCTTAAACGGACAGTAGTAAACAAATTGTTAACTTTTAGAATTTTAATCAAAAACATGCCCATCCATAGATCCAAGTTTTAACTACGGACAAATATTTGATAAGTCTGTTATAATCGTTTAATAAGTATATTATTGCTGACTAATGATTGCACATGCATGTATTTAAATGCAAATAAAAGATACGGTGTGCATGCGAGTGTGCGTGATTTTACGGTCGCCACTTATTGGAGACGAGTTAAAAATCATTTAAGCATTTCTTATGTACCATTTTAAGTTAAGTTTCACATATTATTATATTTAGTACAATTTTGTAGCTCATCTTTTAGGCTAAATATTTAACACATGCATCAATGTTTATATCTTTATACTTTACGTAAGTCATAAAAAGAGTACTTTTAGTAACTTAACATTTTACATAAATTTTTACAAGGTAAAATAACCAAATCTGATGCTTTTGCGCTTCCTTATGTTAAAATAACGTGAAAAAAGGAGAGTCAAATTACACTTAACTTAACCATACCCGTTTTACATGCTTAAAACTTTTTTTGTAGACTCTATATAGTTAATGTTTACTACGAATGAGTTCGTCATGCGAAATAAACCTTTTGTTCGGGTTTGTTTAAATGTTGAAACCTTACAAATATTGTAATAGAATGTTATTTGAGAGATGTCCACGGTGAAATCGATTGTGCTTGAATAAGATTTTAAAATGTATGAATGAAATCACTTTATTTAAGTTGAATGGCCGTCTAAGTTTGGACATGATTTTGATTTTAGTTATACTGAAATAGATTGAAAAATAGATATATTGAGAGAAAAAAATGTGGACTCTTTATTTATCTTCTTGTACTTTACAACTTGTGAAGAATAGAAGCTTTCTTTCATATATATATGTAAAATAAAATGTTTGGGAATATAAACATAAGCGGACATAACAGTGTTAAAAGAAGGGCGTGGCATCAAGCGACAATATAACCCTCTCTAATGGAATATCATTCATTAATTTCAAAGCTTTACTTATGAAAAATTGGATTATCATTATATTCATGGAAAAAATGTAAACGTGAAAGAGTGATTTAAATCTTTGTGAAATATTCTTGAAACTTTCGTAACTTTTTAAGTTTTTGTTTCTATTCGTTTAGAACATTGGACTACATTCCAATTTTCGTGACACTGACATACAAAAATGGCTGTAAATATTTTTAATAAATTGATATATGTTGCTTTATTAACAGGTAGGTTGCAACCGATTCTTAATACAGTTTGGAAATTATCATAATCATTAAACAGTAGTTTAGTATCAGATTTTTAATGCATTTGTATTTTATCAGTTTGAAAATGATAATTATCATTAAACTGTAGTTTAGTTTAAACAACATTTTACTTATAAATGTTTGATTTACATGATATAAATGTTCTATTTACATGGAAAACTATGAATAATTTTACGGATTTAGTAGGAAACGTTGGAAATGTTTTTAAAAAAACTCCCAATGAAATACTTGTTTGTTAAATTTCTATGATTTAAAACATTCTAAACTGGATAAAACACGATTTTTAAAATAAGCCCAAGTTTATGGATGGTTTTTGATTTTACGGTCTGACAATTTTGTCTTCACTTATATCCACCCATACATGTGATTTTATCTTCAGTTACAATCAGCATAGTTTACAATGAAAAGAATAGAGAGGTAAAAAAGATTTGGTCTTAATAGTGGCAATCGATGGACAAGTATTTCAGGGACGAAACAAATTACAATAATTGCTATTGCACGATATACAAATATTTGAATGTACAACTTAATCAAATACTTTAAACAAGGAAATTTCACGTGTAATGTTTAAACTAATATCATTTATATACATTTATTAATGTTAAGCATAAAAGTTTATACATATTTAGTTAAGGTAAAATCGATAAAGTAATTTTTAAGAAAAAGTACACTTATTTTGACACGTATCATTATTTTATAAAGATGTTTTGGCGGGAAAATTATTTTAAACATTCCTTCCGAAATAAGACATTAAAATGCTATGTTATTGTCATATTTAAAACTTTATTAGATTGGGCAAAAGATATACATGAACCACTTACAAGTGTTTCTTGTAAATGTATATACGTGTAAATGTAAGTGTTTAACAAATTTGTTAACCGATATTAAATAGTTATGTAATGAATAACCGTGCTTTGATCTCTATTTATGTAAAAAGCGATTATTCATACCTGTTAAAATATAATATAAAATAATATTTACAAGGATGACTGAATGTAAGATTTTATTACACCTGTGATGTAAGTATTATATTAGAATTATAGCTGTATACTGCACTTATAACTAGACCTTAAATAATAACAGTATTTTACATCCGTCTAGCAACTATGTTAAAAAGGCATCATTATAACAAGCATTTTAAAGCTTCAAAAGCTTATTTAATGCTATATTTCCTTAATTATTAAAATATTATCAAGATTACTAAACCAATTTCTTTAAATCGTATATAAAACTAAATTAAAATGAAGATATATAAATATTGTGTGATAATTTAATAACTTGCTAAGTATTCAAGAAACATGTTTGAGCTCCAAAAATTATGTACATCTTTTTAGTTGTTGGTATAATAATAACCAACACTATATCTTAACCTATCTACTAGGTGGTGGGCTGCCGTTTTTCTTCAAGATATCATTAAAATGTAGCCCAACTACCCTTTCAATGTGACAAGTGCAGATCAAGATCAAACGATACATCAGTGTTTTCTAATCATGATCTGCACTGTTCGCTTATACTGTTAGTATAAATAAGTATACTGTAATTTTCTCTTAAAAAGATAATTGTTTTTGTTCAAGTTAAAAAAATGATAAATTCAATTGAGATATTTAACCTTGTAATAGTTAATATAAGTTAACAGATAGACATTTTTTGCAATGATAACTGCCATGTAAATTTACTTTGCTATGAAATTCAGAACATTATAATGTTGGAATTTATTGTAAAAACCAAATTGCCTCTGGAGAACCTCAGCTATTTATTAAGAATTCTTATACAACCTTTAATATATAGTACTTCTTTTTAAAGGTCGTCAGACTTTGTAAGTTATTAGAATAAACGGAAATTTCAATGTGTTTTTAATGGAGACTGTGATTTTGTAAATGTTAAGAGGGATAAACTCCGCTCAGATCAAAGATTTAGCTTACTTTCCGATAAATAATGAGGATGAAATTGTATAGATTAAAAAAATATATATTATGCTGTTTTCATTATGTCCTTACTGTGAATTACGAAATATAAATGTCATTATTATTACATTGTTCTTACTATTTTCTTACCGTCTCGGAATAATTTTATATAAATATTTCCATGTTTACATATATTTCGAAATAGACTTTAGTATAATATTATACCATTTTGACACAGGTTCTTACCATTTTGTCATTGATTTTATTCATTTTGAGATGGTTTCTCTTAACACAACAATTTGTCACGGTATCAAGATAACTCTATTAATACATATGCAGGATATTTTACGAGAAGGAAATTATATTTTTATAATTTCATTTCAGTTTCTGTGGATGTTGTACATGGAATAAGTTCGAGCGCATGTTATGGTACTCATCCATGTGACTTCTTCTCCATGCAATGTCCGTCAAATCAGGTCATCAAATTGAACAATTTATATGCTGGATATAAAAATACAACCATAAACCCGGTAAGTAAATACTAGATAGATTAGCAATAACGGTATTTAAGAATTTGAAAAAAAAAATTGATGATTATGAATTCTACACTTATCGTTTATACACTTTTAGATTTATTTAATTGATAGCCTTGCAGCCGTCTACTGTATACAAAATCTTTATCGCGATAACTTATGCCATTAGCAAGGTGTCTTTGACATATGGATGTATGTGACATTATAGATTTTTCTAGTGAAGCTCATGAACAGATTCCCAAGATTTTAAATATTGCCTTGTTTCCATTGGCAAAACGTGATTTTCTTTCAGATAAATAATAAAAATATTTCAAAGTATAGATTACTCCCAGACCTTCGGTGCTACTTTGATTTCACAGTAACGCAACATCTTACGCCCCAAAGATTTGAGCAATGTTCAATCTTCAACAATAAATGGAATTAATGATCAAACAGAAACCAAAATTAAAGTAAAGATGTTATTGATGAAATATGGGAAAACTGCTTACAGCCTCCACACACAACTTGACCCCTGCTGTTGAGAGTTTAAAAATTATGGAAAGGGGAAATTCTGTTAATAACCAAATGTTAAAACCAAACATACACGCAAACTTAATTAAACAGAGAATGCACATTCTCCTTTTTATCCATCAATCACGAACGATTTCTATGGAGCAAGGGCGAATCAAATTGAATGGACGCTTTAATCTTCAGAGAAAGGATTCTCAGTAAAAGAACTTCTATAAAAATGAAAAATTCTTGCACATTATTTCACTACTTAAATCATAATTGGCAATATAAATTGATCTGGCTTACTTATAATTAAATAATCGTGCACGTTACAGAGATGATTGACTTAATAAACTGATTGATTGATTGCGTGATGTGCATCGTGCGTCATTTCAAACACAGCGTGATAATACGAGTAGAACTGAATTATTTTCTGCTTCTAAGTATGACACGCAGCCTCTCCCTTGCTTATGTATTGAAAGACTTGATAAGAAAAGAAATTAAAACTTAGACTGATTAGGTAGTTGAAAAAGCAACACAATTAGTGATAACGGTGATGATGATTACCATCGTGATGATAATGATTCTGATGAAGAGGATGATGATAAGTGTTATAATTATGGTAATGGTGACGATGGTGATGATGACAATGATGATGATGATGGTAAAGAAATGATGAATATCATGGTCATCAATAATAATGATAATTGAAAATATCAAATACAAATACAATTATAATGATGATGATGATAATGATAATGATAATATTAAATAATGATGATGTTGAAGAAGAAAAAGAAGATGATGATGTTGGTTACGTTAAAAATAATATGAAACTGAACAGAAAAGCCTGATTTGTCTTATATTATCAAATACTAGTATTATCTTGAGTCAGCGTTTCTTTCAAGGCTGATCTACAAACACGATCGATGCATTGAAATAAATCAACAATAAAACTATTTATTACCTTTGTAACAACATAGCTGTTGTTAATCTACTCATAAAACTAGAATAGTTTATTGTACGCGTTTGGAGAAACAACATAATATTAATTTACACACAGCTACCGTTTGAAAAAAATATCTACTGTATAGAATAGACTATCATAGTTATCTTAAATGAACAAAATTAGATACTATGATGGCATCTGCGAATGTTTTTTAACCGTACCAAAAGTGATCACCTGAACATTCACAATAGGCTCTTTTGAATGTTGCTGAATTTTCATCCTAAATTATAATGGAAAGTTCCAAAAAAGGAAGCTGGGCAAGTTCATTTAAAAATCAGGAGCTGGAGGGTTATTTTCTATTATTTTAATGTTTTGTATTATTTTTTTAACGTTGTAACCTGCTTATGAGATTCTGCTTACAGGCGTGAACGGTGACTTGAATTAGTCGTACAGTCCATGATCAGGATCAATCAAACCTAGTTTTGCAACATTTGGAATTTTCGGTGGCGTTTGACCTTCCTTTTTTAAGTTTTTAACACAATTTAATATGTCGTTATAATTTATAACTTTGGAAGAAATAAGAATTTCAATTTCAAAGACAGAATTTGAGAAAAGTAGAGGTGTGAAATAGAGGCATGTATTGCTTTTATCCTGATTACGTCACTAACTTCCGGTACATATTGTGCATGTATACATCATTGGTATCTAAGATACTTTAAAATATCTATTTTGCAGAAAATAAAAAAAAAACATATCATTTTGTACGTCATAACTATAACAGTGATATTTTTAAGGTCCAGCGAATATAATTACCAGTTATGATATCATTAAAACTAGATATTATAGTATCATTTCATCAATATGTTGAGTTGGATAATTACATAATGTCTAAATATTAATATGTACTTTGTCAATGCAGATAATTTATTTGATTTATTTTTGTTTCAGATCTGTGGAAACGCTGATCGACATTGTGAACTTGAAGCAACATGTTGTTCGTATGCTTCAGGAGGAAATGACATTTTAGAACTTTTAACTTTAGAAAATATTTACCATACGTATACAAACTGTTCTGGTCGACAGAGTTGTACAGACATTCAAGCTAACTGGCAACTGCTCGAAGCAACAGATAACAATGGGGATCTTATTTATTCATCTTTTGTTCAGCTAGAATACGACTGTGAGGACGGTTGGTTTGTTTATATATTTATATATTTGTTTATTTCTTTTTATCTTATTTAGTGTGCATAAAATGCAAAATCTGCGCAGAAGTCAAGGCTTTTTAAATATTTTCAAGAGTAGAAAAAACACCCCAAAGCAAGACTTCGTTTAAACGTCTGCGTTGTGTGTCGAGCAAACCACATATATGATATTTATACAAACTTCATATTTTGTTTGTTTGATTGGATTTTAACATCACACCGACACGGTATATGTCATTTTGGCGACGTTCCAGCTTTACTGGTGGAGGAAGACCTCAGCTACTCTTCCTTGCATTATTTCAGGCATGAACGGGGACCTGAGTAGAACCACCGACGTTCCGAAAGCTAGCTGGATAGCTTCATCACATGTAAGAATCCAAAGTCCCTGTCGGGATTCGAACCCACAGCGGTGAGGGGCAAGTGGTTTGAAGTCAACAACCTGAACCACTCGGCCGCGGACGCCCCAAACTTCATATATTTAGTCTTTAGTCTTAGTATTGTTGGCCTAGTCTTTTGTAATAATTTGTGCCAATGATGCTAGTCTGTGAGAATAAATAATTCACATAATAATGCTAGGACGTAATGAGATATTTTTGCAAACAATGTGCTTTCCTAAAATATACTCAGTAAGTTTGATTCCGTGTGATTTTCTAGTAGAAGAAAACAGTAATAATTTTCAAGTAAATTAATTTATATAATATAGAAGTAAAAATACGTTTTTTGGCTCTTCTTTATTTCTTTCAATATAACAGCATGAGCACTATTCTATTACTTTTACTTTACAGCATCTTCTAAAATTCCTTTTTGTGGTGGCCCAACTGGTACAAACGGATTTACAGCTTTGTGAAATCAGTTTGACGGATTTTTGGGAAAAATTTTGACCAGAAAACCACAAAGACGTTTTTGAAAAGTAACTAATCGGGACAAAACAAAATTTTCATTTTTCAAAAAATAATGTTCGTTTGGGGAAAGTCAAAAAAGGGTTTTTAAAATCAAATGTTGCCAACTTTCGCAGCATTCTTCAGCTCGTTTTTTTTGCGGGGCCCAAATTTCAACCTACTGATCAATTGTACAGCTTTATAAAAAAAAAGAAACTTTTTGTTATCCAGCGGGAACGTGTGGGAAAATATCTTTAACTGGTCTACACGAAAAAGGTGCACTAGATTCTCCAGCGATGGTTTGGATCTCGCTTAAAGGTGAACGGTGTTTAAAATCTTTTAGTTATCTTTAGATTATGTCGAAATTGTTTAAACTTAAGCACATACGTTTTTGAGCAAATATTGCTCTTTTTTGCTAAGCAATTCTATATACAGTAAAAGTACATAAATTTGGATTTTTGTTCTCTTCTCCTTAGCGTCAAGCTCCGCGGGACAAGTGGATTTTGTTGCTGTCCTCTTTTCTTAGCGACAATACGAAACAAAATGAATTCAATTTGTCACGAATTTTAGCTAAAATGAAAACAAAAAAATGATATACGTAAATCAGCAATCATTTTTATTAAAAAAATCATACGTAACTGATTTACATTTAAACAGCTGATGTTAACAACGGTATTGAGGTTACTTGTAAGGAAACGGAACCTGCAGACTTAACAACGACCCCAACCACCACCACTACTACGACCACCACAGAACCGACAACGACTACACCTACAACGACGACGACAAAAGCAACAACAACATTAAAACCAACCACAACAACACCAAAACCGACCACAACAACAACTCCACAACCGACCACAACAACACCCAAACCGACCACAACAACGGCAAAACCGACCACAACAACTCCAAAACCGACCACAACAACTACAAAACTGACCACAACAACTACAAAACCGACCACAACAACTCCTAAACCCACCACAACAACTCCAAAACCGACCACAACAACTACCACTCTTAAACCAACAACTACAACATCAAAACCAGCCACTACAACAATACCACCACCACCACCAACAACAACACAAAAACCTACCACCACCACTATCACCCAAAAAACAACAACACCTACGTCAACAACTTTGTCAACAATCATAACAACATTTATACCACCTAGGACTACAACTGTCTATATCCCACCAACAACGACTGACTATGAAGAAGAAACCACGATTCCTATACCAATTGAAGGCGGTGGTGACGGAGGTAACACTTCATTTATTAATTAAAAATAAGTTCTTTTTGTTTTGTAATCATTATGATAACACTTCAACCAAAGTCAAGGGAACTTTTGATATCCTATATCAAACCTCAATTTTTGCTTTTACTAAATTTTCATGAATTTTGCTTTTACGATTTTTGTTGGCAATAGGGCCCATTTTAACCAAGGATCTTAATTTAAGTAATGATATCAACTGATAAGTTTCTGACTGCTAAAATCAAATTTCTGTGTTTCTACTTAAAAGACGTCATCAGGTAAAAATGTTTACAGGAAATCAAAAGCCCATGTAGTCTTAAGGTGTTTATACGAACGTAGAGATCAATGGCTCCAGTCAATAAAAATTCAATTTATTTTACAGAGAAAGACAATGAACAACGTTTAGCTGTGTACCTGGCAATAATTGTCCCAATCATCGTGTGTCTATTACTGATAACGGCACTCTTACTGTGGATATACTGGAAGAGGTAAATTACGCTGTATTGTTTTGTCAACTGAAATGTTGTACAGTTTTATTTATTATAAAAGTTCCATAGTTTTTAATGTAGTGGAATAAAATATACACTGTGTAAGACTTAAAAGGCAAATGATAAAAAACATGAATCATTTCTAATGAAATTATCTTTACTATAGCTTTAAAATTATAAAAGGCAACACCACCCATTACTTATTAAGTTTTAAATATTTTTCTGCATACATTATAATTCATTTGCAGAGCCAATTCTTATTATTGACTTTAAATTTTCCTTTGGTTGTTTTCTCTTTTTGGTCAAATTGACACAATGTTGTAATTAAAATCATTACAATGGGTTACAAATTGGTATCACTGGAGATTCTTTATTGGGTTACTACGTACAAGAAAGTTCCAGATAATTTTGGCTGTCTGTTAAAGCAGCTACATGGGAATAATACCAAATGTGTAAACTTCTTTAAAATGATTTATATAATCAAAGATAATATTTCCTATAGAAAGTTATGGGAAAAGTAATCTGAACAACTTCTTTATTGTAATATAATCATTTTAGGACAACCCCCAGAAGGAGAAAATTCCATTTCATGAAAGATACCCCAAGATCCCAGGTTTACAACACCTTTAACAACACAAAGATTCTCGACGATTTTATAAAAGTTAATGGAGGAAATCCAAGCACACCAATTAGCCTCGAAAAATCCCCAATATCATACTTTATTTCTGTTCCTGAGCCGCAAAAACGACCTAAGTCTATTTTGTCAAATGGTTCAACATATAGACACCAACATCCTCCCTCTGAACCTTATGTTATACCAATTAATGTAACTAAAACTGATTCAATGTATACTTCACCGAGAAAGGAACCTGTGCAAAACATAGAATATGTTCGAGTTAATCAAGAAAATAACGTGATAGACGATACTGTAATTATTACTGACACGATTGAACCAGAATCTAAAACAAAACCCGTTGTTAAAAATGAGCCTGCACAACGAAAAAGTGTGTTGAAAAAGAAACCTGATGCCTCAGACGGCAGCGTTCTTATTCATATTGACAATCTAAGCCTTCCACCATTGTCCTCGAGGACATCAGATATTAATAGTTCGATCGATACAGCATCAAATCGCAGTGTTATCGGTTCCACCCCTGGTAACCTGACACCAGAGAGACGGGATAGCGGAGCTGCAATTATTTCTACGGAGCCTATTGTTGATAGACATTCAGCAAACGCATATGTCCTACCAGGTAGCTCACCAGAAGACAGTTCTGTACTCTTTGTGCCCTGATAAACAATTATAAAATATATAATGTTAAGGCACGACATAATAGGTCTTTTATCGGTCCATCTGGATAACAAGTTTATGAATTTGTATTATATCAATGATATTATTGATACTGTTGATAAAACCGATTTCAGGCATTGCGGAATTATTTAGCTCATCGGCCAGTGCGCTGGATTTGTCCAAAATGAACAAAATCATTAGTCGATGAAATATGTAATAATTATCTTTGCTATTATTCAGAAATGAACATTTATACAAGAATACAATATAATTAAATTATGTTTTAACCAAAAGCATTGAATTTGCTTTTCTTATAAGCAGAGAATACATGAAACAAATAAGATTAAATTAACAATTAAATTTTCAGTACTCCGTCAACAAAGAAAATTTTGCTGATGGATCGCTTATGTATGTAATTTGTTGTTTTTGTTTATATATTTGCTGTTTGTTTGCCATTATCAAAAGGACATTTACAAATCATAATGTATTATCTGGTGAAATTAAAATATGTTTATATTTTTATAAAATAAATATAATTGATATTACTTGTTCTTTTTTGCAATGATGTTTGAACAATTTCACCAAAATAAAAGGTTCAATGCTCCTACAAACTAAACACAATTTTTATTGAGCTTCAATTAAGTACACAGATAAATGATACTGAACCGTACAATGAAAATCAGTAAGTGAGTGACTGCATTGGTGGGTTTTGGGTGGATAAAAACATCAGTTTATAATATTGCATTTGCTCACATACCATGTTTCAGAAACGATCTCTCATATTGTTCAAGTTACGTAAAGAATGGAGCAACTGACTTTAAGATAACTAAAATATTTCCTTATAGATTAGTTCGGAATGAAGCAGAATGGGACTTAATTATTTGTATAAGCACTTGTACCGTACCTTAATTACCAATTCAAGGCTGGCCATACATCCCTATTCCTGTTTGTAAAAACAGTTATAACCTATGCAAATTCGTTGACAACACGTTCCATAAAATGTGCATTAAGCATTGTTCTTTTTGCAGTAGAAAAATATAGTATATAGTTCTATTGTCAGCGCTCTCACCGCTGGAAGATTTTTTTTAATTCGCAAGAATTTCCCGATTATCTGTTGTTTTTTTGCAGCAAGAAAAAGTACTTAAAACATTGATAATTTTCTTAGAAATTCAAAATAAAGTTTTCGAAGTTAAAGTTCTATTGTCCTGTTAAATGAGAACCATTAATGTCTTTCAGAAAATCTCGTTTATTAACCCGGTGTGATTGAGTCATACGTATAGGAGTAAGTGAAAGCAATGTTCTTATTTAAGCAATGGAACAATAGAATACATTGCATGTTATGTATTTCAATAAATGCCATCGAACGAAATGCTATATTCACAATAAGGATCACATTCAAACATCACCCCATATATCGATACATAACAATCAATTGATTGATTGATTGATCTTTGTCTGGGCTGTGTGGAACAAAATTATCCAAAATGGGCTCATATATTGTCCAAACATTTTCTTTTTGTAAATCAATTCATCAAAATACGTAATAACACAAAGATGAAAATATTATATCGACTAAATCAAAGATTGAAAGAAAAAAATGAAATAAATGAAAAATGTGTTACAACAAAACAAAAAATATAAGAATGTTGAAAGAAGCAGTTGGACAAACAGTTGATAAGGATCATAGCACAAATACGGCCTTTATTATCTTATATTGCAGATAAGTATTCGAAATTAGAAATTTTACTTACCGAAGTTTGACAAAAGATGTAATATGAACGAAGTTTATTTTACAAAATATGAACCGCGATATCTTGTCAGTTTTTAAGACGCATGAATCATTATTGTAGAATAAGGTTTCATATAGGAACATTGATTTTCTGAAGAACTGAAGAAGCAGTTTATTCTTTAAAATGAAATCAGTATTTTTATTTATTTTCCAGTGGTCGGATGGTTTTACTCATTAGACACCTGTTTTCCGGAGAATTATTTTTTTCACAAAGTATAAAGCTTTTTTACCTTTTGGTTTACACTTTTTGGGGTTGGGCAAAAAAAAATTTTTTTTTCCCGAAAGTAAACTTTATAAAAAAAATGCTTAAAGAAAAAAGTTCTCGTGGGAAAAATTTTATCATTTAAAGTCGCAAGCTCAGAAATAGACAATATAAGGATAAACAAATATAAGATACTCAAATTTGAGTTTTGAAAATATTGATAATTGCTACACAGTCTCTTTGTATGTTAAAAATAAACATGTTTCAACTTCATTTAAGGTAGATGTGTTATGTTTTAAACCCTACACACTATAGGTGATCACAATATGAATATATAGTGTCATTGAAAAAAACTGGCAGTTTTTTTTTTAAAAAAGACCAGCTTTACTTGACCCATAAAAGGGAATGCAGCTCTGCATACTTAGTTTATTCATTTTTTTATATTCAGTAAGAATTTTATGGATTTCAATACATTTCTAAGATAAAAATATTTTACCGGAAGATGAGCATAGTATATCTTTGAGTTCCATTTACGGGTTGTGGCTTAATTTTACTTCAAACGAGAACAATTAGAATCACATTGAAAATCATAAAGTTGAAAGTGTAATATTCGATATAAGTGTAAATATAACATCATAAGATATTTTTACTATCCTAACATTATTTACAATTAACAATGATTATCAATACAGCTTACATTTAATGTTAGCAAAACAAAATAAAAACATTGTTCACTTCTTTTTGATATAAAGTTGATCATTTACTTGTATGTAGAAAGCGTTAAAGATTGACAGCTATCTATTCGTTTAAATTTTTTTGTAAAGTATATTTTTTCAATAATTTTGGGGAATAAAATACAAATTTGATAAATTTAAAATTTTTAGTTTACTAAGTTTTCTTATTACCCGGGCCCCCTTTGGGGTTTTTTCAAACTTTTATAAACAAAAAAATTCCAGGAAAATTATATTACCCTCCTTTTAAGGGTTATGCAAAAATTTTCAAAATTTTTAACCGATTTTTTGAAGTAAACCAAATTTTTTTTTGTACAATAACAGAAACGTAAGGTCCCCTCCCTACTCGTTTAAAAATATTATAGTTCAAAGGGCACCTGGTCGTGGTCCCGGGGTTTAGCTGTTGCTGTAATACACCAAGGTATTTTTCCAACAGTACCCTCATTTCAATATAAAACATATGGATTTGGTCTTAGTTTGAATAACGGAATGAGAATTCAATTGATTTACGTAGAAGCACATTTTCTGAAGAGAACGCAAAAAAGAAATAAAGTAAATAAAAACATGATAATGTATTCTTTAGAATAAAAGTTTAACAAAACAGTTTTTAATGTTGTTCGTGAAATAAAGATGATACTGTAAAAGGCTGTAAAAAAGAAGTAGTTAATGGTAACAATGGTCATATTTAGTCAAATTATGCTTATTTATAAAAATATGTTTGAAAATGGCACTTAAAAATCTTAAAAATAGAACTGTTTTCGACACTTAATGCTTATCAGATGTATAACTTTTAGTTCATAATCAATTAATATTAAAAATCCTTAAAAAGCAATTTTGGCAAAACTGAAGTTTCCCTTCACAATCTTAACATAAAAGATAAAGAACCTTTTAGATTTTCCTGTCTCTGAATATTACGATATTTTGGTATTTATAATCGTTTCTAATGTAAACCTTCTAAAGTACAATGCTTTTCATTCTGCTTTTGCTGTTCTGGGTTTACTAAGGCATTAAACCTATTATGCAACTAAAGAATACGATACTGTTTTTGACTGTGGATATTTTAGCGTACCGCATTTGCAAAGGCTATTGGATGATATTATACCATTACCTTCTCCAGTTTAACCAAAGACAGAAAGACGTGATGGCAACAAGACATAATATTAGCGGTAAATTAATTGCTAATATCAGGGTAACATATGTTGTTTTTTCATCATCTGTAATACAAAATTAGTTATTGCATAAATATGGTAAATATGTAAGTATTTATAAAAAAATTACATAAAACTGTGTACCTCAATATATTGTGGTAACGATGAACAGACACATTTGTCATGTTTCTAAAGAAATCATGAAATAATAATAAATGATAATAGTGTATTGACATCTTCTGAGACATTTTTATATATGCAGTATATGCAATTCTTTTGTGGGAACGATTTTTAATTTCAATGTTATTTTTTGTTTTGTTTTGTGTAACATATGTCATTGTATTTTCTGATACTTCAGTTACAGTGTAGGGCATCAACAATATCAACAATCATCGAATGTTTGGAGAAGATCCATTTCGATAGATAAAGAAATACCAGCAAAATTTTTCATAAGAAGTTACATAATAGATATTTTCATATCATAATTAATCTAAAAGCAACTAACTTAAAGGTCTCTTTACTATGTATCAAAACTTTAACTTTACACGCAACACTATGTCTCTTGAGACCAAAACTCTTAAGTATCACAATTTAAACCGATATAAATTACACAATGCTTAAGGATGTTTGCTTTTAAATTAGTAATACTTACAAAATAACATTTACATATTCACACATATTCTGTATCGGTTATCATAAATTAAAGTGTTTTTCATAAACCAACTTGTTTCTATGAGTAACTAAACTAACTTGGTTTTGATTTTCAAAGCTATATATACAGAAAAAACACTATATTTAGTCCACCATCGGGACTGGACCAAAGTGGTTTTCAATGCGAGGTTGTGGATATTCTTATCAATGATCTACAATTTATTTTCTCATTTTATTTCATACAGCAACCCAATAATAACTGTTTTGACACCTTGCTTATCCCTGGGACGTTGAGACAAGTGACCATTAGACGCAAAGTTCAAAATGAATTGTCACGGAGAAATTGCGTCACTTTCGAGGATCGAACATGCGACCCCGGATTTCTAACCGTTGCTCTCCCTAATGAGTAAAGCGGGATGACGAAAGAAAATTAATATGTAATCGAGTATAATTATTTAATAAGTAATATGTTTCAAAAGTAAAAAAATGTCTCTAATCATTTGCTAGCATAATATAAGCAAATGATATATACATTTTGATTTTTAGTAATATGTGAAAATTTTGTTTAAAAAAGAATGACCATCATAATGGTAATGAAACAAAACAAAATAAAATATATGGTATTGATGTATAGTTACCTCCATCAAGACCTCCTTCACTTGGTATGCGATTTGTAGTGGTCGTTTTGGATAATGTTGTTGTTCTTTTTGTTGATGTTGACGGTAAAAGTGGTGACAGTTTTAGTGTTGTTTTCGTTGGTTTTTGTGTTTTTTCTGTTGTAAGTTTGGTGGTTGTGGTTTGTTTTAGTGTTGTCGTCGTTGTTGGTGGTTGTAATGAAGATGTAGTTGAAGAAGGGGTTGTTGTGATTGGCATTTGTGTTCTTGTTGCTGGTGTTGTTGAGGTTTGATTTGTCATCGTTGTTGTATGTGAGGTCGTTTTTGGTTCTGTTGTAGTAGTTGTTGTTGTTGTTGTGGTGGTGGTGGTGGAAGTAGTGGTGGTGGTTGGCGTTGTTGTTAAGTCCGCAGATTCCATTTCCTTACAAGTCACCTGGATACCGTTGTTAACATCAGCTATGTAAATGTAGAATTTTGTTACGTTTGATTGATTATTCTAACATGACCCGCATTTTTCCCTATTGAACATAGAAGGACTGAAAGTGTGTGTTATTATGCAATAAAATCACTGTTGAAGTTCTATATTAAATTAGACCACTAAAAAAGCGACGCGCTGGAAATTAGTACGGAAACAAATCAGGCGCAATTTAGTTTAATATCAGGTACGGCAGTATTTATCTGTTGCTGTGGTAAAATCGAAATCATATATCCAAATCGGTGATTTTGTCGCTTGATAAAATCACTGTTTGTCGTCCGGATGCGTATCATTATATTACTCGGGCTACGCCCTCGTAATATAATTCCCTGCACAGTGATTGAGCAATAAAATGACAAAATTGATAAAATAATCGTTAGCATTATAAAAACATCATCTTTATATATTGTTAACTTTTTTCATAAAAAATATCCAAAGTTAATAAAGATCCGTTTTGTGAATTAAGGTTTGCAATCTCCTTTATACTTTATCATCAAAAATTACTTTATTATCGAAAATGCGGAAATTCAAATTAAACAAGTTAGATGTTATTAAGATATACATATATATATATATATATATATATATATATATATATATATATATATATATTATATATATATATATATATATATATATATATATATATATATATATATATATTATTAACGAAATACAGACCACCACTCAAGGATTCAAGCAAAAAGCAATATTTGCTCAATACTTATGTGTAAATATCAACAATTCAGACTTAATCTAAAAATAATTAAAAGATTTTAAACATCGTTCACCTTTCAGCGAGATCCAGACCATCGCTGGAGAATCTAGTGCACCTTTTTCATGTAGACCGGTTAATGATATTTCCGAAACTGTTCCAGCTGGCATAACAATGGTTTCTTGTTTATCATTATAAAAGGTGTATCTATAGTGTTGATCAGTAGGTTGACATTGGGCAGCAAGAACATACGACCTGAAGAACGCTGACGAACAGTTGGCAACACTTTGATTTAAACCTTTCTGATGACTTTCCAATCGAACATCTATTGTTTTGAATATCACATTTTGTTGTGATCCACGATTCGTTACTGTGCATAAACAGTCTTTGCTGGCTTTTGCTGGGTCAAATTTCTCCAAAGATCCGTCAAACATGATTTCAGCATAGCTGTAAATACCGGTGTTCGTACCAGTTGGGCCACCGCAAAAAGGAATTTTTGATGATGCTGTTAAACAATAACATTTTTAGAGTGTAGTTTATCCTATGATTTGCTAGGTCAATCAAACCAGATATGTTTTGAAAGATTTTTCTAGAATATCTGGATTAAGATTAATGAAAGGGAGGGGTTGGAATAGTACGGTGTTCCGTTTGGACAATCTTGATTTTCCATTTCGTTCCTACGCGCGATGCACGATGGAACGATAGTAAAAACGCGATGGCACGATGACACGATAATGAAAACACGATGGTACGATGGTGAAATCGCGATGGTACGATGGTGAAAACGCGATTGTATATCGTGTTTTCAACATCGTACCATGGCGCTGTCACCATCGTACCATCGCGCTATCGTGTTTTCACCATCGCGCTTTCACCATCGTGTTTTCACCATTGTACCATCACGCTTTCACCATCGTGCAATCGCGTTTTCACCATCGTACCATCGCGTTTTCACCATCGTACCATCGCGCTTTCACCACCGTGCCATCGCGTTTTCACCATCGTACCATCGCGCTTTCACCATCGTTCCATCGCGTTTTCATCATTGTACCATCGCGTTTTCACCATCGTGCCACCGTGCATCGCGGGTACAGACTAAATAAATAATCACGATTGACAAAATGGAACACCGTAGAATAGTGACTAAAAAACTGGGATAAAGAAGCTGATAGCAGTAGACAAAAATGGTAGAGTGCATTACTTTCTTTGTTATCCTAGTTTACACGGTGCATATCCATATCGGTACCCTCTTTGCAAAATCTACTCAAACGGTACCCTCTTTGCCAAGCACAGGTCATTCTTTGCTTAAAACAAACCAACGATGAATAACAATCCAGTAAAATTTCATTGTAATAAGGAAAGGAGGTATGACACGTGGAAAAGATGTATACCATATATATATGTGGGCTTAAATGAACCAGTGGCTTGATTATATATGCATCATACATGTTTCATATGTTCATTTGTATATCATCTTCGGACAAATGGCAGTCAAAAATAAATGTAAAATTGATAAAAACACCATACTTTCGGTTTCTACCTCTTTGCTATTGAATTTTTATATCACAGGTACCCTCTCATTTTTAACACACGGGTACCCTCAAAGCACGACGCTATTATTTGTGTTAATCGTTAGTATGCAATATTTCTTACTTTTATGTACGTATATATTCTATAGTGTAATGATACGGAGTTCTGTTTTTCACAAATGTGAAGAAATAAGAGAAGATAGAAGAGCACAATTGTAAACTTATGATGCTTAAAATTAGATCTGGTCAGTGGTAGGAATCGCCTGTCTTAAATAAGAACTGCCTATTCAAGCATTAATGAAATTGTACTGCATGTAAAGGTCAAGGTAAACGAGTCAGATTAAACTGATATATCATTTATTGTCTAGCAGATTTTTGGGTGAGTGGAAGAAGATCTGATATGCCCCTCTTTCAGTATTTCAGAAAAATCATAGACAATTGCTAGGTTGTTGTGTAGCTTACTAACATAAAATAATTTGATTCATTCAGGATTCGAACCAATATGAGTTTCTAACAATCAAAATGCAACAATATAAAATTTATAACACTAATAACTATATCGCACAACAGGTAATGCTGTTATCGTATCATCGAATCGACATCGTTGTTAAACTATGCAAGCTTTTCCCTAGGTTATGGCATTGTAATACTGTGCTTTTACCAAGACAGGACAATACCACGATGACCCACTTGAAGCACCGTAGTTATAGGAAATATTTTATACTTTTCAGATATACGTGAGAATGTCATTTATATATTATAGAACGGTGATTTTGGTGTCCTGTTCTACATGTAGTTTCAAAAAATATACTCACTGGCATTTTACCTAATCAATATTTTGCTTCAGTCAGTCAGTATAATAATAGTAATTTAGTATTTTGTATGGAAGTAAAATCATTACATTATTACATATTGCTCCAATTATGACAAATAACTTCACATTTAGCATTATTTCCCTCACCTCGGACATAAGAAAAAAAAGAAAAGATTCGTACTGTGCTGCTTTTTAAATTTCATCAATTTAGGCTTTCGCTCATGATAAATTTTATTGAATGTATTTGCACTTGTTTATTTTAATTTGTTTGTTTATTTATTTATTTATTCATTCATTGAATAAATGTTAAGCCGAATAATTGCGTATAATTACCTATATTAAAAAGTCTTATTCCATTGCGCTTTTATGTACTGTGCTATGACGGGTACCCATTGAATAACAGGCTACATGTGATAATAAAAAATCAATAGCAAAAAGGTGGCCCGTTTCGCTGCAAAACCGAAAGCAGGATGATTTTATAAATTTTACATTTATTTTTGACTAATAACTGCTATTTTCCCGAAGATTATGTATAAATGACATGTCGATTTTATTTAGCTTATTATAGGGTTGCAATAATTGAAAATGGACACACTAAAATAAGCACTCAAAGAAAGTGTTACTTGGTATACATATTTTCCACATGACATAACTTCTTTCGTCAGTTGAAGAACATTAGCTGGATTGTTATTCATCGCTGTTTCTTTTATCAAAAATAGCCTGTGCATGTGCAAAAGGGTACCGAGTATATTTTGCAAAGAGGGTACCGGTTTTGAGATGCACCGTGGTTTATGTCTATTTCTTTTTTATCATGTTTAAGAACCACACACACACACGCACGCACGCAAGCATGCACACACACACGGACGGACGCACGCACGCACGCACACACACACACACACACACACACGCACGCAAACACGCGCGCGCGCACACACACACACACACACACACACACCGAGAGCAGTTTAATGTTAAAGTCAATGAATAAACCAACCTTCCTCACAGTCGTATTCAAGCTGAACAAAAGATGAATAAATAAGATCACCATTGTTATCTGTTGCTTGGAGCAGTTGCCAATTAGCTTGGATGTCTGTACATCTCTGTCGACCAGAACAGTTTGTATACGTATTGTAATTATTTTCTAAAGTTAAAAATTCTAAAATATCATTTCCTCCTGAAGCATAAGAACAACATGTTGCTTTAAGTTCACAATGTCGATCAGCGTTTCCACAGATCTGAAACAAAATTTCCATGAAAAATAATATGAATCTGGAGGCATGCTGCTAAAGGTTATGATATAAATTTATTCATATACGCGCACGCACATTTTATTCATGAATGATGTACCACCTTACAATTTCGTTTTAATGAAATGTTTCAGTACTAAAATATGAAGTTAAGGCGAAAGATACTATGTCCGACTTGTATGTGAAATTTACTTAAGATATCTGAAAAGAAATGCAAATATATAATTACATACCGGATTAATTGTAGTATTTTTATATCCAGCGTACAAATTATTCAATTTGATGACCTGATTTGACGGACATTGCATAGAGAAAAAGTCACATGGCTGGGTTCCATAACATGCGCTCGAACTTTCTCCATAAACTGCTTGCATGACCACTGAAATAGTAGGTTTGCATTTTCAGCATATATTGAGGTGTTATGATTAAAAGCGTACACGTCGGTCTTACTTATTTATGATTTGGAAAAAATGTACACATCATGAAAAATTCTTTCACAATTACACGAACAGCTTCAAAGGTCAATTATTCACAATAAAGAATAAAAATCTTCTTATATATAAAAAAGAATTATGTAACATAAACTTATTAAATAAGTAATGTTCATATTTTAAAATAAAACATGGAATCTTACCTTCAAATAAAGAAGCAAGAACCAAAATGATCGACGAATCCATCTTTTGTATATATATAGAATTCATCTCCTTTTCATTTAGTCAACAGGATATGCATGTTTAAAAATGTATAAAATACGTTTCAATTAATGTCTGAAATGTATTCAGCACTCCTTAACAATACGGAAGAATAATATCAACGCTTTACACATGATTGCTCGTATACAAAGACCAAGGTGTTACTAGTAAGTTATGTTTGAAAGATATCAACTTACTAAAACGACATAGCTCGTTCAAATATACACTTTATATTGTGCAATTTACTTGAATGTAATCTTTTTTTTTTGCTTTTTGCATGAATACATAAAAAAGAAAGTATGACCACATTTATTGCAATACTTATTTTTCAATATTTTCAACCTAATAATAGAATAATGTAAAGTTAATAATTTTAACATGCCGAGACCGTATAAAATACTTGTCCCATGGATATTTTTCTGAATATGTTGTTTATAAGTTCGAAGTTAAAAAAAAATATATATCCTTTTTTTAAACTGAAATGTAAGAAGGATGAGAATTTTCTTAACTTGTGAAGGATTAATTGTTTGCATGCAAAAATATTTACATCCATGATTCAAGAGACGAATGATTGTTTTTACTTTTTAGTCAAAATTTATTGCATTATCATAAATGTATATACGAGGGATGTTCCAAAATTATTGTTACTTTTGTGTTTGATATAAGTCGTTAAGATCATTTTAACTTGTCCTGTCCCACAAAATACTCCCTCTCTACTCCAATGCACGTTATCAGCCGATCAATCCATACTCTGCAATGAGAATATTTATACGATACTGGTAAATGGCAGAGCCTAGAGCATTTCTTGATTTGTATTTTTCCAGACAGGTGAAAATTTAGTTTGGAGAACAAGAAATAGTCACAGGGGGCTAGGTCTGGTGAAAAAACTCCGTTACAATTCGTGCCTTGTGGGCTGGAGCATTGTCATGCAAGAGTCTGAGGTACTTCAAACCTGTTTGTGGGCGGCGGCGTTTATAGTGTTTCTTAAGTTTGCGAAGTACAACGTCTCTATAGTACCAGCCTGTGAAAGTTCTACCTTTCGGCACAGGAATTTGCACGACTGGGCCGTTGTTATCAAAGAATATTACATACAAAAACTTTCTCACGGTTGATATTCCTTAAGCAATGCTAGGGCGCCTTGCGTTTTTGGTGGCCCAGATTTGATTAGAGCATTTCCGTTTGGGTTAAAAAATACACACATGTTTCGTCACCTGTGACCAAATTGCCGAAAGCCTTTTGCTGTATTTCAAAATTTTTTAAACACAAGTTTAGCCTTTTCAACTCAGGACCTCTTTTGGTCGCCAGTTAGTAAATGTGGTTTCCTACAAGCATTAATCTTACTTAGCCCGCATTCTAGCTAACTGCCTGACAGTGTACCTTGCGTTTTTATTCAGGATTTGTCGAATTCTTTCAATGTTATGTTTTGTCGTTGTTGTTGCAGGGCGTGAGGGTGTGAGCAGCATCTTTCAGCTGCTGGTGTCCCGACTTAAATCGACCATCCCACCTACAAACAGTCATATACGACATTTGACCCTCCCAATAAATAACCAAAGGGGTCACACTATTATGACTTGTTTCAAATTATTAACAGAAAGAAAGAAAGAAAGAAAGAAAGAAAGAAAGAAAGAAAAAAAGAAAGAAAGAAAGAAAAGACAGGACATTACGTGTAAGGGGAAGATACTCTAACTATACTGCGTGGTTTAATGTTGAAAAAGTTTAGTTTCATGGAAAGTACGAAATCTTTCTTAAGACCAACCTGAGAAATTTTGCGCTTCAAACAAAATGTCCTAGCTTATGACTCCTGTACTTAGACTCCTTTAATTACTGAATGATTTGCTATTCAAAAGTTTCATTACAAGATGTGCCTTGTTAACTTTCAGTTCGATTAACCCATTGTGGATTAAATACCGTGCCATTGGCTTTTCTTAACTATTTTAGGAGAATGAATCTTAATTTAAGTCTAAAGTCCATGAATGAGAATTGAAAAATCCTAAAATTTGTCTATCGTCCCAGGACTTGGGATACATTTAGGACTCTTATATGATTGATATCAATATAGAAACTTTCATATTTTTGAAATAAAACCCGTGAATTTTAATTTTGCAGACTACCAAATGTCTCGTTTGTTATAAGTAAATGTCTTAATTTTGCCTCCGAAAAAAAGTATCTCTTCATTTAAAGAAATTAATACGATAAAAATAAATCAAAGCCAGAAAAGGCCGGTGACATTTGTATACCAAATATCAATCATGAGGCTGTTATGTTACTAAATTTTTCTACAATTAACCATTACTGTCCAAAATTTAACTAAGTCTGTAAACAGGAAGTGGATGAGCAACAAACCTGAAATATGGGATCATGTATTTATGCTGTATACCAAATATCAAGACGCTTTGAAAAGTAGTTGCTGAGAAAACTGTTACGAAAAGCTCAACCATTGACAATTGATGTCGTATAACCGAATGAGCGACAGACCTGAAATCGAATCCTACGGTATGGGACCACATTTTAATGCGGTACATTAAATATCAAGGGGCTGTGATAAGTAGTTGGTAAGATAACTGTTTCGAAAATTCCCTACCATTGACCATTAATGGCGAAAATTTAACTAAGTCGGTAAACAGGACGTGGATAAGCGACAGACCTGAAATCGAATCCAACGATATGGGACTACATGGTTATGCTGTATACCAAATATCAAAAGGCTATGATAAGTTGTTGCTGAGAAAACTATTACGAAAATTGCCCGCCCGCAAAACTGCCCAACATTCACTATAATACTATAACCTGGGTTTGCACCTGTGTAACCCGGCCAAACAACTGATTTTATCATTAAACACGATATCTTTACTTTTTATTACCTCAAAATATTGTAATTTTATTGCTTTATTCCTTTTTAAAGAATAAAAAACATTTTGTTCAAGACAGTAGCCTGTCTAAACTACTCTTTTTATTGTTTTAATTCTTTACAAAGATTTCTATGTAAAAGTGAGTTTATCTACATAAGACACATTTACCATAGAAATTTCAAGCATTGATGAAAAAATTAAATAATTTTATCATTTGGAATTCTTATAAAACATGTTTATTTAATGGAAAAAAAATATTGATAAAGTTCGAAGTAATTTAGTATAAGCACTTATATGATGAATATTGATATTTTGTTCTAGAACTATTTATTGTCCGCTATAAATATATCATATCGAATCATATGAATCTTTCATTTAACAACAACATCTTTATGTAATAGTTCATTGTCACATGATTCAAAACTATCAACAAAATAATTAATGACATTCAACACCTAGCATTATATACCAATCAATTTTGAATTCAGTTTATCTATCTCGATCTATTTTTTGTATTTCAAATGTGCATGTTATAAAAAAGTAATGTACGAGTAAAAGCTATTATTGAAAAGGGAATTGTATACCAGCAAACATCATATAATAACAATACTAATATCAATTCAGAAGATCGAAACTTAATAATTATTTAGTTTTTATTGTGCTTTCTCAAGTATTAGTATGGTCAATTACGTGCTGACAAGACTAATGATTTGAGGCATGCAGCAAGAAAGTAACTGCATAAAGTAATTCAACTTTCAAGGTTGGGGGAATAAAATATTCACAGCACTAAACGTTGCAGTTTTATATCATCTACTAGTATTTACTAGACGAAAGAAGTCAGTGAAACATACAATACTGTTTTATGTGATCAAACACCGTCACCCAACGATACAGGGGTAACAACAAAGATAACTTCGAATCATCAGACACACCTTGCAATAAAATTTAATGCATATAGTACTGTGGTGTACGGTGGCACAAAGGTGACATGTGTGTATTTTTATTTATCTCGTGGCCACGAGATACTATGTCGTGGCAACGAGTTACTAAGTCGTGGCCATGAGATAGCTAAGTCGTGGCAACGAGATACTATATCGTGGCAACGAGTTACTAAGTCGTGGCCACGGGTTACTAAGTCGTGGCCACGAGATAGCTAAGTCGCGGCCACGAGATACTATGTCGTGGTCACGAGTTACTAAGTCGTGGCCACGAGATAGCTAAGATAATTAACCAATCAGAATACACTATATATATTATGAATTTTTAAACTTAACAACTTACTTTTACATGCAACATTAATCTTTGAAAATCTTGAAGATATTCACTTTGAAATTGTCTGTAGAATCATATTAGAAAGTCACCTTCCAAGGCCCATTAGAGGTTAATTTTCACTATAGCTCTTTGTTGGGACAATTTTGAGATCGAATTGGTCAGTTTGTATGTACCACGGCCTGTTAACCTTGTTTTTACGATAACATGAGAAAGAATAAGTCCTGGTTTATTTTATTTGGAAGGGACATTGCCCATGGACAGTAGATAGCCTATAAGGTAAAATCATTGTCTGATGAATAATTTAGAAGGGATAAGCCATGGTTAATATAACACAGAAAGATCATTGCACCTGATCAGTAGATGACATCTAATAATTTCGAGGTCATTGGGTCAAAAATCAGGGTCACAGTGACGCTAAATGTAAAATTATTGACCAGTCAATCAGTTGTATAGATGGCACTGGTGAAGTAGGGGCATCCTTGTACTATAGCACACGTCTTGTTAATTCGGGAAATTCATATAAATGGTGTAATGTGATTGGTTATTTATCTCATGGCCACGACTTAGCTATCTCGTGGCCAAGACTTAGTAACTCGTGGCCACGACATAGTGTCTCGTGGCCACGACTTAGCTATCTCGTGGCCACGACTGAGAAACTCGTGGCCACGACAAAGTAACTCATGGCCACGACATAGTATCTCGTGGCCACGACTTAGTAACTCGTGGCCACGACATAGTAACTCGTCGCCACGACATAGTATCTCGTAGCCACGAGATAAATAAAAACACACACATGTCACCTTTGTGCCACCGTAGTGGTGGCACAGCTTTGAGTTGTCAAAAACCCTACTATACTTTCCTATAATGTTGCAAAAATGTACTTTCTTCCATATCCAATTATCGCATGACATCGCTTCTTTTCCTTTTGTGAATTAATTTAATGTTAAATTCACATCGAATACACCTTTAACGTTTGCACAACCAGGCGTTTCAATTTAAATCATCACTGGGTCTAATTTTATCAAGAAAACTTCGTTGTCATTTACTTAGTCCAAAATGTCTGTGATAAATCCATAATATTTTCCACCTAGTCTCGTTTTCGTTTTATCGAGTTCAAAAATTCATATCAAATCTATATTGTACTCAAAGTGAGTGTATGACATCTCGACCCCTTGACACGTCGAACCATTGACACCTCGACCCCTAAGACATCTCGACCCATGATGCTTAGACCCCTAAGACACTTAGAGCCCTTAAATTTACTGGACATTTCGACCCCTTATTCTATAATGTACTTGAAGACGTTAACTTAGAATAAGTAATGTGCATAACGACGTTAATATAGTAAACAAAGTAATTTTAATTACAACTTTGAATATTATATATATATAATCTAATAGATATACTGAATAATAAGTGGAATCATATTAAACCGTTATTTGTTATACACAATTATTCATCAAGTCAAGTATTTTATGTAAAGAATAGAAACACATGCACTGAATTTAAACAGAAAGTATATATACATGTATTATGTATGTATGTATGTATACATAATATCATAATTACAGTAATTGCAATAGAAATAGTAAATGTTATTTGTTATGATATAAATATATATCAGTCGTATGGTAATTCCTCTTTTTCTTAGCAAACATTTTCATTATTTCCATGTGCATTTGTTTGTTAATTTCTGTAAATCGAACCACTAATATCAGAAAATATAAGGCTTTTGGTTCTTTAAATACTATATGTTAATGAAAAACATGTACGTGTGTTGTTATACATGAAATAAAAATATTTTTCGAGGACGTTAGTATGGAATTACTTAAATATCAAGAACTTTTTAATCATTAAAGCGTAATAAATTTCGAAAAGTAATAAAAAACTTCGTAAGTTGACTCAAGTCAATAATGCCAAAAAATAAGTTATGTTAGCATTAAAAAAATCCTTATCTGACACTGAAGTCACAAGCAAAATCAAAATATCACTAATACCAGTACAGTATTAATGTACCAACATTTAATTTTTCATATGACATTTGTGTTAGATACATTTTAATATAATGGTATTACATACATGTTATCGATGTATCAATGCTCACGCTCTTATCATGTCTGTCCGCCGCCATTGAATGTATGCCTATGAATATGTAATATGTTTATATATTTTAATAAAATAATTAATCTGAATGTTACATATAATAATTTCTTTCCCAATCAGAAAATCTCGTTTACATGAAATGCAGCTTCTTTTCTTTTTCGCACAACAACAACAATTTGGTAATTGGCAGAATGTTTATCACAGGTGTTAATTACCGATAATTAAATAACCAATGACACCTGGCTGATGTTTATTGGGCACGCGTTTCACACCATTTAGATTATGTGTTTAAGAGTTATTGACTTTAAGATTTTAAATAATTTTCTTAACTTGTTATTGTCGAAAATATTGCTTTTGAAGCTTATTTTGGAAATATTTCACTCAATTTATGAGATAAGAAAATGTTTAATGAAAAATGAGATGTAATAAAACATTTTGAAATTAACATCATTTTTTATGTTACAAATTATATAAGAAATAGATGAGACTATTTCTTTTTCGTCAATATAACCACAATTCTACATATCATAATTTACACTATAGTTGTAAATTATAGTACACGTAATTCTCGAAATACGTTTAAATGATAATTAATTGAATTTTCAAATTACAACCATTAATTGATTGATTGATATTTTGTTTTTGAATTCATAATGTAAATATCATAGAAAAAATGAGACCATCGCTACTTTGACAAGTCAATTCAATATATAACATAAATTAATTAGGCATGTAAAATAATTCATTGCCAATATAACACGCCTGTGTTTGTCACAGAAAAATAAACTAAATCTTAACAAACTTATAGAAATTGTAAATATGAATTAACACGCAATGCACAAATCGCGCATTTTCATTATTATCATTATCATAATTCCTTCAGTTTTAGTCTGGGGGTCGAAATGTCTTACCCACTAGGGGTCGAAAAGTCATGTTAAAAGGGGTCTAAGTGTCAAAGGGTCAAGAAGTTATCTTAATATCGTAAGTGGTCGAGAAGTCAAGGGGTCTAAATGTCTTACTTGCCTCAAAGTACCATTGTTTTTTTCAAAATGGTTAAGCTTAATGGTGTAAAATTAATTAGTGAAATCTACGTTGAATACACTACTGATTCTGCTGGACTCATAATAGCGCCTAGTCCAATATAAATTGACCTTGATATGATCTCCATATATTTAGTCTTTAGTGTTAGTATTGCTGGCCTATTCTTTCAAAATAATTTTTGCAATGATGCTTGTTCTAAATTATAAATAATTCACATAATAATTCTAGGAAGTTATGAAATATTTTTACAAACAAGGTGCTTTCCTAAAATAGACTCAGTCAGTTAGCTTCCGTGTGATTTTCTAGCAGAAGAAAACAGGTACATTTTCAAGTATATTTATATTATATATCAAAATATTACAGATTTTGGCTCTTTTTTATTTCTTTCAATATAACAACATAAGTAATTTTCTAAAACTTTTACTTTACAGCATCTTCTAAAATTTATTTTTGTGGAGGTCCAACTTGTACGAACACCGGTATTTACAGCTATGCTGAAATCATGTTTGACAGAATTAATAGTTTATCTTACATGCGGAATATATTTGAACCCGTGCACAGGTTGAGAACGCATAGTAAACTCGCTTGATGGCTCGTCAAATATAGTGTCTCCAGTTTTAAAATGTCTTTCTGTTCTCATATCGTATAGTTTAATAATGAATACATTAGCTTGTAATTATTGCGTTGGTTTACATCGGAAAATACTATAACAACAATATGATAACATTTTTATACGAATTTGTTTTAGTTTGCTTGTGTTGGAATCTACATACTTAAACCAGACAACAGCTTGCACATGACAGGTTTTGAACCCACGCATCCAGCAATCCTAACTAGGCCCAAACGTTAACAACTCGGCTTCATCGCCACTGTAGGTCACCAGGATGATAATTGCAGTATCGTTGAATGTCGTCAGGACTAGAAAAATGGGAAGAAATCATACCGACTTTAAATTATTCAACGACAGAATTGTCTTTCGGTTGTTTTTGTTAAACAGTGGTCAACGTATCCACGACTCCATCAATCTTTTTGCATTTATGTGACTTCTATCAATAATCATAAAGCGTTTTACACCTAAGAAGACAAGATATATCTTTCATATCATTTTTGAGAATAATTTTGGTTGGTTATGTAATAGAAAGAACATCTCTGATGTGTACGAGGGGCGTAGCCTTGGAGATTCAATCAATTTGACGAGTATTTTGATTGTATAAAAGGCAAAAATAAATATTGTCACCATCGTCTCAGAAAAAAGTTAATATACAAGCATCATTATATGACTTTTCTATCGTTATCCTTTTCTTTTTCGTCACATTAAAGCCGCAGAAAACAGGAAATCAACGGGCAATCCCTACAGGCAGTGCGGTAACTGGAGTGCGTACAATTGATACCTGTTATCCAGTTAACGCATTGTGCATGTTTGGGTATACGATTTAACTCTGATATATTTTCAATAGAAAGGTCTCCAAACTATGATGCAAATAGTAAAATACAAAATTCGATAATTTCTCTAGTATATTAACACTGTAAAGGACACAGGTAATACCAAACACACATGTTTGAACTTATAAATAAACGATTGAAATGCCTACATTGCCTTAATTAGAAATCCAGTAAAACTTGGAAGTCCAAATGCAACATTGGCATAAAGCCATTCCCCAGTAGTTGAATGTGTGACAAACACATCGTCCCCCTTCATAATGTGGATGATAAATACTTTGGAATTGCATTCTGCTGCCCAACCATTGCCAGCAATAACTTTACCGATGATCAAGTCTTTAACGTTTATTTCTAAAACAATATAATGCTGGGCTTCAGAGCAAGCAGTAATAGTGAATTGGTACAGACCATTTACAGGTGCAACAAATATACCATGTCGAGGGTTATATGCATTACCGATATTCGTTTTTACATCATCAAAATAAATGTGGTGGTTTGTGCCACGCTCATGTGTCGTTAGATATGCCATAAACGCAACAACTGTTGTTGACTGGTTCACTGAAAAATATACCAACAGTAATTGTTTAAAAATTTTATGTACAAGTAGCCAATAACTTTTCTTTCATCAAAATCAGTATTAAAATATATTTATCATTTTTACATTTGATTTTTAGTAATATCATAGATTTAAAATTAGGTCAACTTCAATCCAACTTATGAAATGCAAGTTTATTATCCATCACATTATGTCAACATTGGAGGTTGGAGTTCAATAAGTTGAGTATATAAGTCTGTTTAAGTTTGCAAAAAAAAAAGAGGAAAAAAGTGATAACTATGGCAAATTTATAAAGGCTTAAGGCAGTCTATCATTTTGATAGTATTTTTTTATTTTCTTTGCAATAAATTGCTATGTAGTATTACCTATATGAGCTTTAAGCATTTCAACGTCCTTTTGAAGGCTATGAATGGCGGCCGATGTCGCATTCTCATACTTTAACGTAGCAAGATATTGCCCTTTCAACCACGCAACGTCTTGGACTATATATTGCAAGGATGTGTTTCCCGTCACATTTCCACTTAATCCAGCGACCGTATTTTCCAGTTTTGTCAGCCGATTCACAATTGTGTAAAAATTATTATCTAATAAAATTCGCTTTGTTGAAGAGATAAAACAACTTTGAAATAGAACTAGTACTAATAAGTGCAGGATTTGTAACATCTTAAACATCTTGGCTTTCTCATTAAGTACGTAAGAATAATATGACAACTTTAAATGCTGATAAAAGATAATTGTGTCAATGTAAATGAAGGTCTATGACGATAAGGCAACTTTTATATGTATGTGCTACTCTTTTAGAGAGGTCAATGATAATGTAAACACTAAGCTGTTGTAAGGATTAAAGGGACGCCACTGAGGTATTTTTGACATAATGGGACTGGATATAATTTCTCGAGATTTTACGATTCGATGTAAGTCCTGACCAACAACTTGTATATATTTAAAAAATGTACGCTTGATATTTGTAAGAATCACAACTTTTATGTTTTTAGAATTCTTTACCGCAGTTGAGCTTCTTTAAGTGTTGAAAGATACAAGTATAGCAGTTTTCTAAATTGGATTTATTTTCATGGCTGTAAAGTATTCTAAATTGGCTAGATAAAAAAGAAAACAATTAAAATGCAAAAAGTAACATAACAGCAACAAATTGACACGATGAAAAATGGAACCTTAAGGCCACATGATTTTGACTGTACTGAAGCCTAAAAATAACAAAGAGTGATGTTTGGAGAGTAGTCATACCGACATTGCAACGAAAAAAGGTTAGTTATAATCCGAGGAATGCCAGGGCATGAAAAATTAAACAAGAACCATTCGATAAAATTTGATTGCTTTGTCTTTTATTTTTTACACTTTGATGAATCCCGAGACAATTGCAACTTTTTAGATTGCACCGGTGTAGACCCTTTGACCCACCGTACTTATGATATTAGTAAATATGACTACTTTCCTTTTCTGATAGAGTGTGTTGTTCTCTATGAGTAAAATTCATAGTTCTTATGCTGAAAATTTTTGTCTTTTTTTTTTGAAACGATAACATGAGAGTCACAAGAGTACATGACATTTTATAATTACTATCCCATCTTTCATGGAACAAATCTTATCCTAAGGTAAAAAGGGTCTAGTATGGTTTGACAAATTGCATTTTACAAAGCTAACTTTCGGCATCAATCGTGCAAAGGTTTTCATTGGTTTACAAGTAAGGAAAATAAAAAAATAAACAAATTGACAAATTTAAGATGTGTTTTATCTGCTAAAAAATTACAAGTAAATGTGTATACGATAATAATCAGGATCTAAAACTATCTATTCTAACTTCTCAGATTTAAAAGAAATCTGATGCATCAAGTAATAGTTACATTACAGTTCAGAGTTAATAAATCTCTTCGTAGGTCTGTACAATAGTTGTGAGTATTTTCATCTGTATCATTTGGCAGTAATGTTTACGATAATTCATCTTTTTTATTATTCTTATGTAATTATGTTGCCACAGTTTCATTCTAAATGCCAGTCTAGCCAGATCGATTGTTCAAGATAACCATTCTTTATACTAGCGTTTTAAATTCTTTTAAGTTATTTGATATTTAGATAAACAGATCCAAATTATATGTTCTTCATTGGTCATCAGAGAACATTTCCAGAATTAAACATATACACATAAATTGTATCTTTCTTTACATCTTTCAAGGAACAGCTTTTGTTGATTATGTTATTTATTAATTTTTGTACATCAATCATGTCAATGGTGTTTTTTCCAGTTATTTTCCACAAACTTAAATATTTATCCCATTGTTATTCAAAATGTATGTACACAGAAAGTTAATTAATTTAACAGCAACATATTTAAAAAGCAGATAATATCACACAAAAAAGATAATATAAACAGTACACTCAAACATAGTATATTACCAAGAAATTCAGCCCATCTTAAGAATTCATAAAATATCCAAATATGCATGGACCAAACCGTAATTTAGATCGTTATGCCAGATGTTGATATCATAACTGGCGAAAACGCGTTGAATGAAGTCGAATTCGAGGCTTTACAATTTTAAAATGTCTTCAATGATAAGGTTTCTGGTATCAATCTGTTGTTCCATCTCGTTAATACCATAGTTTTTCTAAAATGTAAACGAATATAAGCATAACATATTATTTAAACAAAAAAGTGTAACCTGCTCATGCTCAAAAATGTGTAACTGTAGACTCCATCAGCAGTTACATGGAAAATGATTTGTACTATTGCAGTTGACCGCTGAAGACAATGATATGATAAACATTTTATGGGATGGATTAGGACTGCGCACATTGTGAAATTAATGCTAAGTTTTGTTTATTTCAGTATTAGTTTAATGTACATATACATCTAACCTAAAAGCCGTCAAAGTCAAATGTTGTACGATTCATGAGAGTGAGATTTAAAGTCACTTGTTGAATACAAAGGAATATTCCCCCCCCACACATCATTCAATTCTTGCTTATACCTCTTTTGCTTCTACTATTTCAGCAAGTCAGAAAACTGAAAACTCGTTTATAGGCCTTTAAGATACAAAGAAGCACGGAATGATTTTATATCATCAAAATTATGCAACTTAATCTGAGCATTATATCTAAATCGTATCAGAATAATTATTTGATAAAGAAATGCCTTTAATCTTATTTACCTAAGCTATCTAATATCCTTTCCACCACTTTGTCTTCAATATCCATTTCGTTCGATATGTCTGTCAATATCATTCTCGCTAATAATTTCTTTTGCTCGATCCTATCTGTAAATCATACAGAGAAATTTATATAAAAAAATAAAACCAAACGCCATTTAGAACAATTCACATAGTCTATGCCAATCAATAAGATCTTAACCATCTTTAAGAAAGTTAACTTAATGCCAAGAAACAGTCATACAGCTTTATCCCTACTCATCAAATGCACATGTATAATATATTTAACAGCTAAGAAATCCACTTTGCTACATGTTTCATAGTTTGGGGACCATTCAGTTGAAAATGTGTCAGAGTTAAAACGTTTACACATACATGCACAATGCGTAAACTTGAGTGCATGTATTAGTTTCTCGCACTCCATAGCATGCTCATTGATTGTCTCTTTTTTATGAGGTTTACATAATGTGATAATGTGTCTTTATTTTTGCCTATGATACTAAAGAGAAAGAACATCAAAAACCTCCGCAATCTGATTGATACTCGTGGGCTACGCCTCTTCGTAAAAATCAAAAAGGCTCATATTCCGATGCTCTTTCTATTACTTAACTCATAGTGTCAAGATTAAAGCGTTCTTCAGAATCTTTTATTTTATACATTCAAAACAAAATTGGATGTAAGTGTAGAAGGTAAAACTCCACCGAGCAATATAGCATATGATATAAACCATTATTGTTCGTATGGTGATTTAAATCACGCCAAATAATATAAAAAGAAAAAGTACTGTTTGTAAATTGTCAAGTAATCAAGAAGCTCACCACCAAATTCGATTATACAAAAAATAATTATTCAGGTAGGGAACAAAAGTAAATGGAATGTTTTAATTTATCAGCATCCTTTAAGTTTGTATCATAAATACATAAGGAAAGAAACAATTAAATCATGGATACTAAATGGTAAAAGAAATTGAACAAAGAAATTCATTTTAAAAGGAATTGCATGTGTATAACCAAGTTGTTAATAACCATTGGTAATAGGAAAATTAAATGTACAATAATCTGGAAACATGTGAGAATAGTATACATGTATTCGTTAAGTTCTACATGTATTTTTACTTACTTTGTTGGTCTTCAGAAATAGGTTGAAGTGGAGCCACAGATTGATGGTGATATAGATTGAACATAAATTGAGGTCTGAGATGCTCTATAAGAAAATAAAAAAAATGTAGGAATTCATTAGATATTTAAGTGAATATGCAAATAAGATGTTTCAATTTGAAGACATCTGCATGTCCTCCCAGACTGTTTGTTAATTTTACGACATTTGCATGTCTTCTGATGTACGGTAATAAATTAAACATGAACACACGTTTTTTAATCTTAGTATTATGTGTTTTAAGCCCGTAAAAATATTTTTATTTTTGTTTTGTATCAAAAGTATACTGTCACTGGATAGCAAAACATTTACTTCTTATAAACACCACGTTCAATCACAAGCCCTTTTCATCGTCTATGTCTTTTTATTGCTTCGCATACTTTGATGTGGAAATTTGGCCCGACCTCTACAATTATGACGTAAGCGTGATATGCTTTTAAATTACCGGAAATATATAAAAACATATTATTTTCTAAGAGCCAGTTGGGTTCACGGGTAAAATGTTATTGATTTTACAAGGCTACGAGTATGCGGACGACATATTTTCCCGCCTTGCTTACAGTCAAGTCACCAGTTCCGGTACATGACCAGTTCCGGTTTCTTCAATGCCGTTTACATTAAAATATTTCTTACATTTTCATTGTTTGTTGATAATATAATGGGTGTCTAACCATTTGTTGGCAGCTCATTTTCTTATGAATTGCCGGTTTTCTAGAAAAACGACATTCAATTAGTCGGAAAAGATCCTGTGCCGAAACTGGAACAGTGATAGAATTGGCCTATAACGGCTTAGTATTATGCATGCATCTTTTCTTGGTTTTTCAATTTGATAAAAGAAAGCTTGATTAGATTCTACACGATAAGATGTAAAATGAATTTTATGAAATGAACTTCATATTACCGGGTATTCTTTCCATATAAAGTGAAAGCTGTTCATCTAATCTGATTGGGTCAGGAATAGTGGATGGAGAAGCAACTGAAATACAACATCTTGAGAATGACAAATTAATTTCATTGCAGAATGTATGTATGTATGTAGGTAGGTAGGTAGGTAGGTAGGTAGAAGCAATAACAGTTGTGGCTATTTTAACGCTGGCATTTTATAAGAATTGACCAGTTACCTTTACAATAACAGGCAATGCACCTTCACAAACATAGTTTGTGTATTCTCTTGTACAAATAAGATACAATTCTAAAATAATTTCATAGATTTCAATACATTAATGCAATAAAAGTGTTTTACTAAAAATTAGGATATTATATATTTAAATAATCAAAATGATCATATAGTCAAAGTCAATGAAGCTTTTCTAAAATCTGTTGAAATGACAAAACTAAAGCAAACAAAACATCTTTAAAAACATGTAAGCATATTACTTTATACATATATGTGTTATATTGTTATGATTGGTTTTAAAATAAGTAGCGACACAATCTTGAAGAAAAAACACATATGGCAATAAAAAATCATGATTATTTCCCCTGCAGTGTTTCATCAAATTAAATAAGTTATTGATGTTTTATGGATGGTTCTGAAGGAAATTGACCTTGGAATGACTTCTTAGCAGACAAACTTGTTGTGCATTTTGAAAAACTTTTTCTTGTTATCAACAATACAAAGGCCTACGTTAATAGTTCCGAAAAAGAATATTTACCTGTACAGGATATTGTTATTCTAAATAGAAAGAAACAGTAATACCATATGATCCTGCTGGCCCACGAGTTCTTCCTGTTCTTCCTGCTGGACCACGAATGGATATTTCATCTTGCGCAGTTCGTCTTTCAGTTTGCTCTGTTATGGCACCAGATTGTCTGACGTGTTCTAAAGTTTCTGCCACCGGACGTGTATTGCCTAAACGGGTATGTGTGATATTTTTAACAGTTTCTCACACAGTAATGCTTCAATTATATCATACAATGCGCCTTCTTGCACTGAGTTAAAAATCTATGAAGTGCCTCAATTGTCAAAAACAGTTTGGAAATCTATTATGCGATGTTACAAAGTAGAAATAATGAAATATTTTTACCATTCACCGCTGTCGCTCCAAGTGGTTGAGTCAAAATAGGTAGTCCATCTACATTTCTCGGGTCTGAATTAGCTATTGCCGGTAGAAGATCTGTAAAAATATGCATTTTAATTTTAATGTAACAACAGAAAATTAGTGAAATTTTATGCCACGTGGAAAAAAAAACACGAATAGCGTATACTTTATGCATGATTGTGTTTTGCATTTAAGTTAGCAACAAAAGATTACTTTTTAATGTAGTCCATATTTTTATCCGTAAATTTATTGCTGTATTTCTTGTGAAAACCCAAATTATTTGACCTAATTAATACAAATGAAGCAAATTATCATTCTTCAAAACTTTATGTTTCAACTCTTGATTAAAAGGCTTTCAAGGTATGCGAACAATATATCACCTCCATGTGCGACACAATCTTGTTTTGTATTTGATTCAGTCTCGTGTTCCCGGTGTCTTCTCTGACCGTTCTTGAAATGCTTACCAATCGGCTCCTTCTTTGTGGCCATATCTTCCCTGCAATTAACTTGAAAATTAGGAAAAATTTGTGTAGGTATTTAGGTATTTAGCACAATTTTAGTCTATATTATTTACATGATGTGGCTTCAGTTTGCACGTTGCCCTTATGTGTTTTCATGTAAGTATCGTTAATATATCTGTGCTAGTTACGAAGGTTATAGTCAGTTCATTTTGCAAGGACGTGTCGATTACAAATATTTTTTTCAAATATTATCTATAAATTCATTATTTTACAATATATTATACCATTTATAAAAATAACAGTTTTAATGACGACGTCAAAAGAACATGTGGAGCAGCGGTCAGTTATCCAGTTTTGTTCAGACTTTGGGATGACATCTGTTCAGACTTTTAAAACTCATTGAGCAAACAGAACATTTGTCACGACGAAAAACAATGCTTATTTCGAAGTGCAAACCAGATTACTGCGCGGATGCGCAGGCTGGTCTGGATCCATGCTGGTCGCAAACGCACTATGTTGGTTTTTTCATGACGCGGTTCAAATATGTTTTTCTATTTTATTTCTTAATCATTATATACAAACATTCAAATCATAATATATTCATTTGACATAAAGGATGACTACAGATCTAGAAAATTAAAAATAATAATGATAAGCTTTTTTTGTATCTTAAGATCTATGTGTTTGTATTTGACATAGATATTTTGGACTCTGAAAATGAAAACGATGATATATTGGATGTGATATGCATTTAATATTGATGTTTTGGATTCTGGAAAAGGAAACGAGGCTGATAATTGATTTCTATTGGAACATCACGTGGTCCAAATCCTGAGAGATAATAGGTTATATTTCATAAGGTTTGAAATTAAAAAAAAAGAAGTAGTCAATGTTTTATTAAACCTTAATCAAACAAATGAATATAACTTATTTAAGATTTAATAACTACAAAATAGAAAAGGATATCTTGCAAAGTAAATAACATTTTTAATGTGCACCAATACGTCAACGAATAGTGTTCTACAAAGTTATAATAGAAAAGATTTAAAGCAGATATGACTGCAAAACCACAAATAAACCTACATTATGTCGATTGTACGATGACAAGTAAAATGCTAGTTGTGACCCAAAATAAAACCACCGAGAAAGCAAATGTACTCGTATATGAATATAAAACTGTGTAAGGCTATAGTATATCTGCTGCAAAAAATTATTGTTTAAAATTTAAAAATGATGCTTTTAAAAAGCCTATATGAAATAAATATGATAGTTGAATGCCTTTAAAATACCAAAACTTTGCCAAACGGATTAAACCCTACTTAAAATAGCAGAATAATATTCTGCTCCGGAACATTTTATTCTGTTTACATACAGTACATGTGTGTTAAAAACAGAGACACTCTATGTCACAACTCTTTCGGAAATCCGTCATAAGATCATTTAACCAATATAATTTTATTGTTGATAAATTTTTAAGATATAGCTTTATATTAATTTAAGGGTTTTGTATTTTAGATAAAAATATAATATTTAAAATATTTTAGTGTTAAGTCATGAAGACGTAAACTAAATTGCACATTATCATTGTACACAATTAGTTACCCCGGATTAATACACATTTGATTTTACAAAGCAATGACCTATATAATGGGTATTGTTAACTTCCTTTTCTATTTTTAAACCATTAAAATGATTAATTTTTCAAATAATATATTTCACATATATCTTTTTAATGTAATCTTAAAAAAACAAAAAAAAAACTAAATCATTACCTTTTGTTTCAATATTGACATATAACGAATCTTCATGAAAACAATTAAATGTTAATGAAATAAATATATATTCTGAGCACTTAGAAAAGTTTTCTGGCTTACTTTTATCGTAACAAACTATTCATTAATTATTTATTATACTTTTATAGCTTTAATATGATAATTGTAAAATATCACAATAAGAAATTATGAGAAACCAAAGTAATATTTCATAAAAATAATAAGAAAAAAAAAACCAAACAAGCAATGTTAAAGCTTACCTTAAACAGAAAGAGGAAATTTTAATACGGGGAAAATCCGAGTATTACCCTGAAATTCGTAGAATTAAATGAAAGAGTTTTTTTTAATTTTTTTTTTCAAATATATACATGTATTACTGTCTATAATAAAACGTTTTCATAATCAGCTACATGTTAATAAGTATAAACTTATTTTTCAATTAACAAATATTGCCGTGTAACTATTTTTTAAATTCATACTATGTTGCGAATGAATGTGAGCACTTGGTTACATGGAAAGTTTGTATACCTTTTTAACATATACGCTTTTTTGCCTTTGGATACAATAATCTTTGAATGTGTACTCCCTAAACGAAAACAACAACAACAGCAACAACAACAACAACAACAACAACAAAAATCGATGAATGGACGATAGAAGAAGCGACCTTGAACAAAACGAGTCTTATGACTTCATTTGAGCTCGGATGACGTTTAAGATTAGTAATTCTGAATAAATGGGCTTCTTCGGCCAAATTTTATCTTTTATATTGAAAGAGACATGACAGATGATATCATCGTAATTTGTCAAATTAAAACTTGATGTGAGTGAACACATTTATGTGATCTCTATGGTATTTCATGCAACAGCCACAATATTCATAATATAAAGTACATTTTAAAGTGACTCACTATGGTTGTGTAGTGATATCTTCAGGTATTCATATATATTTTTAACTTAAAATTTCCAGTCACGTGTCTGTCTACTTCCGTTACCGGCTGAAAGTCATCTTCTTTCAGACGTTTAGTCCTGCCTTGAAGTGGATTTGCTCTTACAACGAGAGGTTCTTGAACTTTTGACATTCTTTGTTTTTCTCTAATCATTCGGTCGATCACGACGAAGAGACTGGTCCACGTGTTCAGTTTATGCGTGTTTGTGTTGGGAATTTCATTTCCTTGACCTTGAGCAGTGTTGGCGAGATGTTAGTAACTTAAAATTAAAAGGATATTAAAACATCCAAATACATGTAGAGATACTCATTATATAATATATGTATATACATGTACATTGATATTTTCTCAAACTTTGACGACTAGGGTCATGAAGAGAAAAGTGAGTAGGTCGTTTATAAAGGAAATCAAATATTATAAAGTCGTGCTCATACTAAGATAGACGAAACTACCAAACAAATTTAGGTCATAGACCATCTTAGCCGACAAAAAATAATTTAAATTTTATTTCTTGAAAGAAAATTTAATTAACTGTTTTTTTTGAGGAAATAAATAAAAACATTCAGATGTCTTTTAGTATTGAAAAGTTATCGCCCCATTCCTTGCTTTGACTTGTGCCCTGTCATGCTTTTGTTTGGTGTCCTACTGGACTCCTTGCCATTGGTCTTGTGTTGCTGGGTCATGTGGGATTGCGTTCGTTCATTAAACGCCATCTTTTCTTGTTGATCTTGTTTTTTATATTTTGAATTAAACTACCAATATTGTTTAAATTATGGTAAAATTTATTTAAAAGATTTTCTTTTTACATTTTACATAATTATCTGCATAAGTTTATGCAGTCATGACAGCCCCTATAGAACGTCGAGCTATTTTAATATGTTTTGTTGAGCTTCAACGCAGGCCAATACCGTTAGGGCCACATAAGGACTTTGTATCTTTACTGATGAAGAAAAAACAGGTAAAGACATTTATCAAACCAATATCGATCCAATATTGCTTTTATGGGTGGGGGAGGGGATGCAAACAACTGCAAGATTTGCTTTGGGTTCAAAAATGGGCGGCGGAGGGTGGATTTGGATTTTCAAAGTCGGGGCTCGATGTGTTCTTTTCTGTCGATTGCGAAGACATCATGGTGACCTTGAACTTTGCGTGTCCGGTTGTGAAGTTCGGCAGGGTTCCAAGGAGTTATATTTGATAAGGAACTTTCTTTAATTCCACATATGGGGCTGAATGCTAAATGTTTTAAGGCTTTATATTTATTTTAGTTTTTTGTCTTTTGTCGACTTCGGGTCGGGTTCCTCTGCTTTGTTGAAATTGTGCAGAAGCCTTCTCCGATCAGAATTAGATTATGGTTCGGCTGGAGAATCGATTTTACAAATGATTGATGCAGTGCTCCAACGAGACCTTTGTTTCGCTTTGAGCGCTTTTCGGGTATCGCCTGTGGAAGGTCTCTGCTGAGGCAGGGAGCCTTCCCTTTATCTACGTAGGGGGCTTTCTCTTCAATGTGCAGCTTGAGTATTATCGAGTGGTAGAAATTCTGCTTGGAAAGTTGTTTTTGAAGCAAATTACTGCGACAACTTTTTGATTTTCAATGCGTTGGTGAGAGTGGTGTAGAGTCTCCGTGAACTTACGGTTCTTCAGAGGTTGACATTGGTCTTTCAGGTTTAACTGTTCCAATGATATTTGCAGGTTTGGTGCAGCCGTTTTCTAAAATAGGACAACCTGCTGAATTGGCCTTGTAGTGCGTTTTACGGCATAATTGTTACGGATTTGTATTTGTTTTTCAGATGTAGATTCACAGTCCTTGTTATTGTCAACTAAAAATCGTAAGTCCGATAATGTTGTGATGAGGAGGCTCTTGGGGGGGGGGGGGGGTCGAAATTGAAAAGGTGGGTGCTAAGGCTGGAGCTGTCTTTGGAAAGTCTCTATTTTTTATTTATTTTCATGGCTGTAAAATATTCTAGATTGGCTAATTAAAAAAAGAAAACAATTAAAATACAAATGGTTACATAACAGCAATCATTTGGCACTATGAAAAATGGAACCCTTAGAACAAAGGATTTTGTCTTTACTGAAGCCTAAAAGTTACAATTATGCATTTTCAATGAAACTTTACAGGATTGATCTGTAGCTTAAGCCACGGAATTTTGGGTTAAATGATTTTTGCCCGAGTTATGGCCCTTGAATAAAAAAAGTGGTTTGTGTGTTGACAGATACACATTAGCTTGTTTGGACTACTTCTCAAAAACCACTGGTGCAATTCCATCCAATCTTAACAGGAATGATAAGCACCAAGTCTAGTTGTGTATATCATCTGCTTTTTATGATTCAGTGAATTTTGTAGGATTTATGGTCATTTATTCATTTTTAGTTTTTAAAGTTTGTTCGCACTACTCCTCTTATACCACTGATGCAATTTCAATGAAACTTTACAGGATTGATTGGTACGTCAAAAACTTGCTCATATTACACGGGTTTTCCGCTTGAATGATTTCTGGTTCATTGATTTTTGCTAGAGTTTTGTCCCTTTCATGATTTTAATTTTGAAATTTGTCCGGAATACTCCTGTTATTCCACTGATGAAATTTTACAGGATCAATCGAACTTTTTGTGCATATTTCACAAGTATTTAGGTTGAATGATTTTTGCCGAGGTATGGCTATTATTAGGAGACACATGTCATCACTGATGACACTTATCTGTCTCGGAATTGTTGTCTCTTTTGGTTGTGTCTTTTTTAGCAACGATAAATTGACAGGAACAAGAGCACATGACATTTGATGAATACGTTTCCGTCTTCAATGCGACAAATCCTTCCCTAAGGTAAAAAGGGTCTAGTATTGTTGAACTAATTGCACTTTACAAAGTTTCGACATCAATCGTGAAAGGTTTTCATTGGTTTACAAGTAAGGAAATAATAATATAAACGAATTGTCAAGTTTAAGATTTGTTTAATTTGCTCAATAATTACAAATAACTGGCCATACGAAGGCAATCAGGATCTAAAACCGTTTATTCTAACTTCTAACAGCAAAACATTTTAAAAGCAAATAATACCACACAAAAAATTAAAATATACAGTACACTAAAACATAGTTTATTGTCAAGCTATCCAGCCTATCGTTGCGCCAGCTGTTTATATCATAAAATTAACGAAAACGCGTTGAACAAAGTCGAAGTCGAGGCGGCTTTACAATTTAAAAGTTCCGTCAATGATAAGGCTTCTGGTATAATCTGTTGCACCATCTTGTTAATACCATAGCTTTTCTAAAATGTAAACGAATTTAAACATGACATATTATTTAAATAAAATAGTGTAACCTGCTCATGCTCAAAAGTTATTCCTTTCAATTTAAAAAAAGTAACTTAGACATCATTGAATTCATTTTAGAACAACAGTTAATATACCGATTAAAATGATTAAAATGTGTAAGTCTTTACTCCATCGGAGTACTCTATGGAAAATGGTTTTACTATTGCAGTTAACCGCTAAAGACAATGAATATGATTAACCTTTCATGGGATTAGGATCGCGCGCATTCTGAAATTAAATCTTAGTTTTGCATAACATAGTATTAGTTTAATGAACATGTACATCCAACTTAAAAAAACCGTCAAAGTCAAATGTTGTACGATTCACGAGAGTGAGATTTAAAGTCACTTATTGAATACAAAGGAATATTTCCCCCCACACATCATTCAATTCTTGCTAAAACCTCTTTTGCTTCTACTATTCCAGCAAGTCAGAAAACTGAAAACTCGTTTTTAAGGCCTTTAAGATACAAAGAAGCACGGAATGATTTTATTCCATCAAAATTATGCAACTTCATCCGAGCATTAAATCTAAATCGTATCAGAATTATTATTTGATAAAGAAATGACTTTAATCTTATTTACCAAGGCTATCTAATATCCTTTCCACCACTTTGTCTTCAATATCCATTTCATTGGAGATGTTTGTCAGTATCGTTCTCGCTAATAATTTCTTTTGCTCAATCCTGTCTGTAAATCATACAGAGACTGTTATAAAAATATTAAAATCATGCTGGAAACAATTAATTTATAATTATCTACTCCACAAAATTTTCAACATCCAACATTTCGAGGCGTTAAACCCCTCTTTAATACACTTGCTACTATATAATTATAGTAACAAAATTGCCTATGATTTCAACTGATTACAATGTATGAGTGTCACGTGATTTAGAGTTTGCGGCCCGGGACCAATTGCACCTCTATTTTTGTATCATCAATACAAAAGAAAACACACAATTCAATTATGGATACTTAATGGTAAAAGAAAATGAACAAAGTAATTCATTTTAAAAGAGAATGCATGAATATTACTTGTCACTTGCCCACCAAATTATCAATATCTAGTTAAATGTACAATTATCTGGAAACATGTGAGAATGGTATACATGTATTTGTTAAGTACTATATTTACTTACATTGTTGATCTTCAGGAATAGGTTGAAGCGGAGCCACAGATTGATGGTGATATAAATTGAACATAAATTGACTCCTGAGATGCACTATAAGAAAGTAAAAAAGTAGTTACTCATTGGATATTTAAATGAAATGCAAATCAGATGCTTTATTTGCCGACATCTGTATGTCTCCCTACTCCTAGACTGTTTGTAAATATTACGACATTTGTATGTCTTCTGACGATGAATGTGTCATGTCATGATCATACATAGTAACTCCCCTTTGATAAAAAATCGCCAATAAAACCACAAAAAATTCACCATACGACAATTTGTTTTAAGGTGATTCAGCATTGATAGATACCTACTCTAACCTTTTAGATTTAACTGTGCTCTTTTTTTCACAAATATGTTGTGGTTAAATTCTTATTGTATGAGATTTGGGCAGGTCAGGGATCTATGCATTGTCAGCCATGTTTGTTTTGATCAAAAATAGCATTCCTCTGCACTAAAACATACTTTAAACTGGATTTTGCCATTCATGAAATCACGAATCATTTTTTACCAATCATAGTGGCAAGGAAGCCCTGAGGAAAATTATGTATTTGTTAAACTTTTGTATTTGATACGATTTAAAAAATAACAGGCATTCTCTCGGTGCACGTTACAGATGTACAGTACTTTATTGAATATGAACATACATGTAAAAACTTATCTTTAAGTTAGTATAATGGGGTTATGACGTAAGGTGACACGGTTTACTAAAATAGATAAGAAATAGTTAGCCAGGTTTACCTTTAAAAATACGGGGCTAAGAGTATGCGGATGTTATATTATCCGCCTTGTTTATTTGCCTAATATTGGTGTTTTTCCTAATGATTTTGTAAATATATAAGTAAAATACAATGATTATTTGATCGTTTTCGTTAGTCAAAATATATCCGGCTAACATTTTTGTATGTTGCGTAATTTATCTACCATAAATACGTATCTAGAAGCACCTTTTCTAATTATGTATTACTAAGACCAGTAATTTATTCTTGCAAGTTGCGCACACAAGTTGCGCACAATTAATGTGTTATTTATAATATAATTTCTATAGTCTTTTCTTAATATATTTTTCAGGTTGATAAAAATCTTCTTGATGAGATGTAAAATGAATTTTGAAAAAGAACATCACATTACCGGGTATTCTTGCCATATCAAGGTAAAACTGTTCATCTAATCTGATTGGGTCAGGAATAGTTGATGGAGAAGACACTGAAATACAACATCTTGAGAATGACAAATTAATTTCATTGCAGAATGTATGTATGTATGTATGTATGTATGGATGGATAATAGATGTATGGATGAGTGTGCGTGAGAGCGTGCGTGCATGCGTATGTATGTATGTATGTATGTATGTATGTATGTGTATGGATGTACACGTGCATGTACATGCGCATGTATGCATTTATGTATTTAAAAATTCAACAAGGCTTGAAATAATTTTTGTTTTGACATTTGATACTTTAAAATACTTTTAACTAGATCTACTAAACACTTCTAAATGTAAAGTAAACATCTTTTTGAGTACACACAGATACGATATGTTATGTTTGAAACTCTTCTCTCGGTGAACCCAGTACAAGTATAATATCATTAAAAAGCTGGCATTTTATAAGATATATATTATAGAGGATATTGTTATCGTAAATAGGAAACAAAAGTATTACCATATGTTCCTGCCAGACCACGAATGGATATTGCATCTGACGCAGTTTGTCTTTCAGTTTGCTCTGCCATGGTACCAGATTGTCTTATGTCTGCTGAAGTTTCTGCCATCGGACTTGTATTGACTTAACGGGTATGAACATTTGTAAGTGTAAAATTTTGAACAGTTTCTCACACAAGAATGCTTTATTTATATCATACAATGTGTCTTCTTGCAATGAGTTAAAACTATGAACTGCCTCAAGTGTCTGAATAAATTCAAACTGGAGAAATGTTTCAATAACAACTAACAAAAACAGTTTGGAAATCTTTTTTGAGATGTAACAAAGTAGAAATAATGCAGTATCTTACCAGGCATCCCTGTTGCTCCAACAGACTGAGTTAAAATATGTTGTCCATGGCCATTTCTCGGTTCTGAATTAGCTAATGCCGGTGTAAGGTCTGTAAAAATATGCATTTTATCTTTAAAGAAACAACAGAAAATTAGTTAAATTCATTTCCACGTGGAAAAAAATACAAATATCGTATACTTTATGCGTGACTTTGTTTTGTTTTTAAGTTAGCAAGGAATAATTACTCTTTAATGTAGTCCATTTTCTTTTATTTCAACGTGTATTTATTGCTAAATTTCTTATGAAAACCCAATTTAGTTGACCTAATTGATACAAATGAAGCAAATTATCATTCTTCAAAACTTTATGTTTCAGCTCTTGATTAAAAGGCCTTCAAGGTATGCGAATAATATATCACCTGCGACACAATCTTGTTTTGTATTTGATTCAGTCTCGTGTTCCCGGTGTCTCCTCTGACCGTTTTTGAAGTGCTTACCTATCGGCTCTTTCTTTGGTGTTCTTGACATTTTTCCCCCCTGAAATTGGTAAGTTAGAAATCTTTTTTGTAGGTAAGTAGGTATTTAGTACGCTTTGTTTCTGTAATATTTACATGCTGTGGGTACAGCATCTTTCTATCTTTCTATTAAAATATTGTAATTTGTAATACTATTAAACCAAAATGGATGCTTAACAAAAGAAGACGGCTATAATGCACCTTATATCGTTTACCTGATTATAAAGTCTCAAACTGACAAGGACCAATTAACTTGATGACTATGAATATAAAAAAAACATGTACAAGGTCAAAACAAAGATCATCTGCAATGTAAGTTCAAATATGCATTTGGAATAGTGCATATGTAATGTTAAAACCTCTTGACTGATAAAACATTTCAAGACCTGACGCGAAATACAAGCTCCATAAGATAATCTCCAAATGTGACTTTGACCTTGAAATGATGGGTCTGAGTGTTGCAAATAAATCGTCGTCTTATTTCGGAGAAGATTTGTGCCAAGTTATTTAAAAAAATCCATGATTGATGATAAAAATATAAACCGGACATAAAATATATTGTACATAAGCCAGTATTAGTTTAACATTGATCTTGAAAATATGGACATTTTTGTTGCGCATGACACGTAGTATATTATGGTTAATATTTGTGCCAAGTTATTCAAAAATCCTTTGATGACAGACAGACATATCGACTGACGGGCGCCCATTTCTATGTACCCCTTCAAAAAGACTTGGGTCGAGGATTCGAACATGCGTTTACCATTCCGTTATATATTCCACTAGGCCTTCAGGATAAAAGCAAATGTATTGAGAAAAATACTAAATCATTTTAGTGATTAGGTCTTCAATGGGCACACTTTCCATCAGTATTTCAAATATTGATGAAACAAAAGAAATGTATCATTTGGATATTCGTATAATAATTTGCTTGACAAAAGTGTTGTTAAAGTTTGAAGTGATTTAAAACGATCTTATTTATGATGAATAATACATTTTTGTTCTAAAATACTTCAATATCTGCCATATAAATACATGTATATGCAATATCGGGTCATGTATCTCACACTTGCTAAAAACTTCCATGTAAGATTTCTTCGAATTTATCTTTGTTATGTCCGATACTAAATACTATTTACGTATCATTTATTATATTTAATAAGACCTTCCATTATAAACCAATTTACTTAAATACCCAAAAGCGTAAATCGGAAAAAAAATGCATGAGATCAATATTGCCAAACAATAGTAAAATAAAGTTTCCTTTTAAAAGGAAAGGCTTGCCCAGTTGTGCCATAATACCATCCCTTTAAAAATGATTTAACCCCCCCCCCCTAAATCAACTCTTTATGATAAAGTAATAATTATAAAATAATAATAATAAATTGACCTTATATACCAGTAAAAACAAGGTACCTAAGGCTATGTTTTTACAGGTATATAGGGTCAATTTATTATCACTATTTTTTAATTATTTGTATATCATAAAGTGTTTATTTAGGATTTTTTTTCGAAAAAAAAGTTTCACTTTAAAGGGGGTAGGAAGGAAACCCTAGACTGGACGAGCACCTTTGCCCATTTGTGCCACAAGTGTTATGCATGCAAATTTAGACAAAAGAAGGACCAGAAGTCCACTGATTATAATTGAACCGGAACATGCTGAAGATAACAGTAACAACTTTTTTTTGTAAAAACGAATATTTTTTTTATCAAAAACGATTTGAAATCTATTCTCTATTGTAAAAAAACTAATAAAGAAAATAAACACTCGTAAAAAATACTAACATTGGCTCCCCACGTGGAGAAAATAAAAGTATCTATCTATCATACTTAAAGGAAACAAGTGTGCACATTTCGTTTTTCACTTTTTTTTCGCAGAAAGAGTCATTCGTTTTGGCAGTTTTTAATTCCATTTAAATATCAGCTTTATAGACAAGTAAATGCACTAAAAGACTTCGTTACTTGGTACCAATTAATATGCATGTATCAACTATGTTACACCTAAAATATCTATGTCACTTGTATATTGATCACATATATACCGACAACACAGGGTGTGCTATCTGTAGATCAGCACGTGGTAAGGTTAATGATATACATGGGCTATTTTTAGATTACCGATCACCAAGACATTATACTGTAGTTTTAACTCCACGTTAGAATTACGTTTAAATATAAGTCACAGTAGATCTAAATATAACTCGATCGCAAACAAATGTGATAGAGCTATGTAATTTTAACTTGTTCGCACTAATTTGCTGTGTGAATTCGGTCACGATCTTTTGGTAAGTTGACCGTCCTTTGGAGACGGAATACTACTACAGCAGCCATTCCCTATTGTATAAAACTTATAAAGACAAAAATTAATCATAAAAGAAACTAACTTTTGCGTCTTGAAAACGAATTGAAACGGAACATTTTCGTTTATAATTTATTTTTCCCTTCTACTTACGCTTTAAACCGATAAATCAAGTAAAAATAGAAATTCTATTTATAGAAAAAACTGGGATTACCGAAGTAACTAAAAATAGCTTAGATTTCCGTAATATTACTTCGTCTGATTCTGCAGTATGACGGAATCGCCCGCATTGTCACGATTGCAGCGGAAACCTAGATTGGTTTCCCGTTCCATCCATTCGGAACTGCCTCGGCTATTATCTGGAAACAATACGGATTGAAAGTAGTTCTACCACGTGGTTTACAAATGTAAACAGAAACAGAGATAATGTAAAACGAATGTATATATTTGACATCTAATGTCTGTTCCGGTACTCTTCTGCTTGAAAATATGTCTGACAACAATTTGTAATTTAAATATGCCCACTGATGTTCAATTTTGAACAAATCCGACTAAATGTCAATAGGTTGGTTTTTGTACTTTCGGTTTCTACTGCCATATTAGTAAATATATAAATAATGTATTGTTTGCTTTTGTACCTATGAATTCACTTATTTTAGTTGGACTTTAACTACATATATTGGAAATAAACTTGTCAACAACTCCCAGCATTAAATTACTATTTGTATACATGTTTAGTTTCTAAGCGTAGGTTAGACAGGAATACCGCATCCTTTCTGTGTATTCATACTATTATGTTCGAGGTCCTTATCCGAAGACTGACGGAAAGGGCCGAGTAGTTGCGATTGCGTTCCATCATGCACAAATAAATGTAAGCAGGAAACCCCATAACCGGAACGACTTTTTAAAAAAATGGCTTGCAGCTGTGTCCGCAAGCCAATAAATTAAAAATATGCAAAATATAAAAGGTATTTTGTCGTCCGTATGAAATACAAAAGAGTTTTTCTAACTGTTTTTAAAATGATAACATTTTAAATGACATAATTTTAAATCGTTCACTTATATCAATTTTAGGACATCGATTATAGACAGCGTATAATCCTGATAAGACATGAAGTTTAAGGTTTAACGCGATACATTTATATACCTGCGTAAATACTTGACATTCGTATTTATTACATGATATGTAACAGGGGCGGATACAGAACATGGTTTCCTGGGGGGGCTGACATATGGGTGGAAGAATTTGACAAAATAATGCAACGGGCGAAAAATTGAAGATTAGGCCAGCATCTTGTTCATTTGACAAAACTTCTTATTGATGTGTTGATGTGTTTATAGCTCATCTTATTTTTGCCAATGTACTTTGCTTATGTATGAGTATACTAATGTTTTTTGTAAATATTTTAGTGATACAGAAATAAGAAAAATATATATGTAATAGGGGTGGGCCTGGGAGGGGTGTCCCCTGCCATAGACCGAGAAAATTTTTGAAATATGATGTTGAAAATGGTGTTATTTCCTTAACTTTCTAGTGCTGTTTATGGTACGTTTTGGATGGTTTTACAAAACACTGTATTTTGTATAGGTTAGTGTTTACAGGCCAGGGTCTTTCAAAAAGAATTCCCCCTGGTGTTTAGTAGTGAATATTCACAAAATAACAGCACACAAACCAATGTAATGAATGTATGCACAACTGTTGATAAAAATAAATTCAAACACTTGATCAATTTACTCATCTGAATAATAGACAATTTTCCAAAGTAAAGTGGTATTAAAATACTGCCTTCCTAATGTACAAACAAAAATAATTTCAAACACTAGTATTCAATGTATTTTTGCCATCAATGAATCCATTTTAGATACTAAAGAGGTAAGTACAACTTAAATTTTATTTAAAAATATAACTGCCATAAAAAGTTATTAAAAGCATATAACCAATTATTTCATCATAATAAAAATCTTAGTAAAACTGGTTATTAAAACGCGATTCCTTTAAAATTTCTTATAAAACTTGCCATCTTTTTAATTTACAAAAAATAATTTCAATTTATTTATTTTCTTAATTATAGGAAATGGAAAAACAAAGATAGTAAAATAAGGTGTATAATATAACACATCTATTTGCCACTAACTGGTCTGTGACTATTAATTATTAGACCTTGGGAAAGTAATAAACCAATCAATTATGCAGTTTAAACATTGAAGTCATTCAAGCATGTTGATAGATAAAGATCTCTGCCAAGCCCCCAGGCAGGAGATTAACGACTGGATGACAGCAATTACTGTTTTGAGTACACTATACAGCCAATAAAGTTTGAAACTGCCAAAAATTTATTCCAGCCCAGCTGGTAAACGTATCTTTGGGCTGAGGGGGGGGGGGGGGGTCTGCAGCCCTGAAGCCCGGGCCTGAATCCGCCACTGTGTAAGTAACGAAATTTTCCTAAAACGCGCAGTCTGATCAGGATCCATGCTGTTCGCGATCAGTTTCTGTACTTGTTATAGGGTTTGTAAGCGAACAGCATGGATTCTGATCAGACTGCGCGGATGTGCAGGCTGGTCTGGATCCATGCTGGTCGCAAACCCACTATGCTGGTTTTGTTGTTGCACGGCTCAAATGTACTCGTATATGAATATAAAACCCTCACTTTAAAGTGTGTAAAGCTATCTACATGTATCTGCTGCAAAAACTATTTTGAGAAAAAATACTTCCAACATGCCTGTATGAAATAAATATGGTGGTTAAATGCCTTTAAAATACCAAAACTTTGTTACATGGATTAAACCTTAATATAGCAGAATAATATTCTATTTGGGAACTGTAATTTTTATTTAAATAAAAATATGATATGTACCGTATGATAAATATTTTTGTGTTTTAATAGTAAGACGTACACTAAAGTATACATTATCATTGTTGCACAATAAGGTTCGTTCCCTCTGATTAATACACCCGTGATACATGTATTACAAATCTACGACCTAGATATAATGGATTACTTCATGTTCTATTTTAAAATCACTTTCGATCTCTTCAAAATCATCTTTATTATATATTTTTTAATATCATCTAAAACTATCAATATATATTGTTTCAATATTGACATATTATTAAGTATTTCTGCATTAAAACAATACTTACTGTTAATAGAATCAGTTATACATGTAAATTGTACTGCGCAGTTAAAGAAAATCTTCTTTTCTAGCTTACTAGTATCGTTACATACTATCCAATTTAGGTATTATACTTTTATAGCTATTATAAAATGATTATATTAAATCACAATTAAAGAACATGATAAGTCTCAGCAATATTTCATTAAAAAAAAACCAAACAAACAGAAGACAAAACTTCAAACACTAACCTTCTAAAAAGGAAGTAAAAAACGACGAAAAGTGGAATTACCATTAAATTCGTAGAATTCAAAATGAAAAAAAATATATTTTTTTAATTATTTCTTTTTCAAATTTATCTTGGGAAAATTTGTTTGTAGAATACTTTTTTTTATCAGCTTCATGTTCAGTAATAATGTTTAATGAAATTAATAATAATTACCGTGTACCTATTTTTAGATTTAAATAGTTTAATATGTGTATATGGTTAAAATGGTTGAATTTTGTCATATGTATTCCCTAAATGGAAAAAAGACACTGCAACCCACCTTATATACAATAGACGAAGCTACCATGGACAAAACTTAAATTGAGCTCGAAAGACGTTGTAAATAATAGTTCCAAATAACGGTGCTTCGAGATGGTATCATCCTAATTAGTACAAATGTACTCAATAACAGTTTGATGAACACATAAATGGGATTTTAGAAGTATTTCAACGAAACTGCCAAGATTTTCAAAATTAAATTTATATCTAAAAGTGACTCAATATGGTTGTTTATAGCGACATTATGCTCGGTCGGTTGTTTTCAGTGTCAAGTTAAGCTAAATTGACTATATATTTCAAAACATTATTGACTGTGGATATAATGTGGATTGATCAACAGTTAATACTGGAAAATGTTTAGGATAAACTATAAATCTGCTTAAAATATATAAAGACAGACTACACCACTCTTTCTATAAATTGAACGTTACAGGTAATTTACGATTGAAAGTTCTAGAAAATTCTTTCGTTCATGAAGTACTGTAAAATCATTATTATTCGTGGGGCACGAATTTTCGTGGTTTTCGTGGGTAGGTCAATCCACGAATTTAAGATCCGACGAACTTTTATCCCAACAAATACTTCTTACCCTGTCTCTGTTCTATATATTACAAACATGCGTCGGCTCTTTTCCGGCCGATATTTCGTGAAATGGATGAAAGTACAGACAGATAACCAGGTTAGTGACATATCAAATCCGTTTGCAATAGTTAAGAAACTTGAACGAAAACTCGATTATATGTCCTCAATTTACTGTCACAAATGTCGCATATACATACTTGATCGTTGTAGTCTACTAGGACTTGATTGTGTTAACAAGAATACTTGTAAATATGGGAACCCAGTTATAAAATTGAAAGGAATTATGGGAAAGTGTGAACTTATATTGACTCACCTGTTCACTCGCTATATACCATTGGGTGGACAAAATGTCACTTTAAGAACTATTAGGAACTAGTAATGATTGCCTCGTGTGTTTATAGGATCATTTGGACTTGACAGAACATTTCTTCAGTCACGTTTACGTTCACGTAATTCTACTTCCTGTACAAGCTGAAAGTCTTTTTGCTCGAAATAAAATTTCGTCATCTTCATGCAGTAATGGAATAAGTCATTCTAAATTTAATAGGAGTTAATCAGTTATTGTACTAAGCTGACTAAATGTTCTATAGACGTTCAGTCCTGCATTGATGTGGATATACGAACTGACTCTGAACTTCTTATCTTCGTGCTCATACTAAGCCAGACGAGACTACCAAATACAATTTGGACATAGACCATCTGAGCCGACAATAAATAACTTAAATTTTATTTCTAGAATGAACATTTAATTTAATGTTTTTGAAGGAAATAAATGAAACATTCAGATGTCTTTAAGTATTTAGAATAACCCCGTCCATGATTTGCCTTGTGTCCTGTCCTGTTTTTGTTGGGTGTCCTGCTGCGCTCCTTGGCGGTAGTTTGGGATTGCGTTCATTGAATGCCGCCGTTACTTTTCCTTGTTTTTTAAATATCAAATTTAACAACCAATTAAAGTTATGGTCTAATTTATTTAAAAAATTTTCTTTACATTTTACATTATTATCTACATACGTTTATGCAGTCATGAAAGTTTAGCTATTTTATTAGTTTTTTTAAGGTTTAAGGCACACCGATACTGCAAGAGCGTTATTAGGACTTTGTACCTTTTCCGGTGACTCAAAAACATGTAAAGGTATTTATCAACCCGATATCAATCTGATATTGGTTTTTTTGGGGGGTGGGGGTGGGGGGCAGGAAGTGGTAAAACAATTGAACGGTGGCTTCAAAAGGATTTGGATGGGGTTCAAAAATGGGCGGCGGAGAATGGTTTTGGGGTTTCTAGGTCTTTGGCTCGGTCTTGTCTTAGTTTCACAAATGGGGCCTGAAGACTAAATGTTTAAGACTTTAGATTTATTTTAGGTTTTGACTAGTGGGGACTTCGGGTCGTATTCCCCTGCTTTGCAGAAGTATTCTCCGATCGAGTTAGATTAAGGTTCGGCTGGGGGTCGTTTGTACAAATGCTCCATGCAGTGCTTCTACGAGGCCTCCTTTGTTTTGCTTTGAGCGCGTTTCGGGCACCGCCAGTTGAGGGTTTCTGTGTTTAGGCAGGAAGCCTTTCCTTTACCTACGTAGAAGGGGGTTTTCTCTTCAATGTACAGCTATGGTATCATCGGGTTGTAGAAGTTCTGCTTGGGACTTTTTTTAAATCAAATTACTGCGAAAAGTTTTTGATCAGGTCAAGGGGAGGGGGGGGGGTGAGGGGGCTGTCGTGTAAGAAATGGTTTAGAAAATTTTAACATGAACCAAGAATATGTTCTTCAATGCGTTGGTTGGGGGTCTCCGTAGACTTACGGTCCTCCATAGATTGATATTGGTCTTTAAGGGTTGGAAAAGTCATCTTGTTCTCTTGAGATTTTAAAGGATTATTTTCTTCATAATTCAAGGTGTGCGTAAGGATTAGGAAGAGGGCATGGGGATTTGTACATTTTTCCACATACTATTTCAGAGATGGTTGCCGGTTTGGTGCAGCCAACCTTGGGAGGAATTTTCGCTTTCTAGAATGTGGTTACCCGGTGATGCGTTTGTGAGGCGGAGGCTGCTGGTTTGTTTCGTTTTACTGCATAATTATGACGGATTTGTATTTTTTCAGATTCACTGTTCATGTTATTGTCAACTAAAAACCAAAAGTCCGATGATGTTGTGATATGGATGCTCTTGTTGCGATTAAATGGTGTCTTGGAAGCCAGGACAGTTGTATTGTGTTAAATCCCAGGCCGCGTGGGGGATTGGGGGTGGGGTTTGGTGAAAAGGTGGGTGCTTTGGTTGGAGGTGTCTTTCGATTGTCAATCATTAGAGTTACTGTTATCAAGTGATGATTTTGAACCCTCCATAGATGAACTTGTATAATCTGTGAGGAAGTCGGTTCGGAAGAGGTCCGTATTTGGCAGACTTCATGATATGAGACCTTGTCTTGGAGTGTCACCGCCTCTGTTTCATCTTGACCGTGGTAATTGGATGGTTCTTCTTTGATGTCGAGCGGAACACGCTGAAGTTGCGAATTCTCATCATTTGGCTGTCGATGGTGCTCCTTTTTGTGTGGGTCGCAATGAGTGTTTCGTTGTCGGGCATTTTCTCTCTGGGTATTGTTATCTTGCGCTGGCTCGTGGTAAATATTGCCGGTAGGTTCACTTTCGGAGCTTTTTCACACAGCTCCTTCCAAAGCATTGGTCGACTGATTGGAGTAAGTGGGTCTGTGTTCTGGGATTTAGCTGACGTTTCTGTTTCTTCTTGACCGTCGCAATTAGATGGTTCTTCTTTGATGTCGAGTGGAATACGCTGGAGTTGCAAATGCTTATCTTGTGGCTGTCCCTGTGTTCTGGGTCTTAGCTGACTTATTTGGTAACCTTGTACTAAGGGTTTAATAATCTTACATTAACAATTATAGTGTTCGGCGTGATATAGCCAGTTATCTGTAAATGTACCGTTTTACAAAACAACGTTATACAAAAAAAAAAAACAAAAAAAAACTTTTATGAATATTTCGACAAGCCCGATAATCATCCCGATTAGTAATAACCGAGTACAGTGTAAGTAGTATACACAGACTCATTATCCTTCTCTTACTGAAAATTCATACAATGAACAAACAATCAATTTCGACTCTTTGTTAAAACTATGGAAATTATGCAAAGTGCCGATTGACGCTAGAGAGACATTGATGGGATTATGATGTTGCCGCCATTTGAGTTGCTGACTTGTTCGAATCCTAGACAGCCATATGTGTAAACATTGTGAGGCCCAACTCTAGCCAACAATCTCTGAGGTGTGTTATCTCTTTAAAGCCGCATGCCTCCAGCTTAGCTAAAATATTTCAAGATAATTTAACATGAGGAAAATGTACAAATATATTATAAAAAATGATTCAGGATTCAAGAAGTAATTTACATGTTATGTGAGATTAATGACTGATTTTGTAATAATTACGTGAATCAATATATTTCTACTGCGTGATATACGCAGTAAGCGCTATGTATGCATACATGTTTTTTGACCTCTCTTTGGTAATATGCGTGGATTGTAAGTGCCGTTTGCAATGTGCAAATTACTTTCTTTGATCACTTCGCAATATTTTTTTTTAAATACATTTTAAAATTTTTTATTAGAATAAGCATTACTCTTGAGGTGTACTGCTTTAAGGATTATAATGTAAACATAAGTTAGTTTATTTTGTGAATTTGGGAATTCTACTTAATGCATTCTACAAATGCAATTTCTTTTTGTACTACCTCTGTAGATCATCGTAGAAACAGGAAGAAAATTGTATTTTTCTGCGAAAAAGAAACGATAGAACTAAATGTACTTTTATCATTCTTTATTCTCTGAAATCAATAACCGTAGAAAAACTTGCGTGTCAATATTCTAAAGAATATCATTTGATTTAATAATTATCTCAGCTCATTCTTATTTGTTTGAATGCATCTTGATTTTATTACTAGAAGTCAGGTAACTGATATGCGTATAGCCACAATAAACAGTAAGATAACTGATAGGTCAAAACAAAGGTGACATTCCACGACGATTTTTGTACTGATAAACACCGTAAACAAATTGAACAAAATATTATTAAAGGGTAGGCTCAGTTACGTGTAGGTGGCTGAATGTAAACTGTATAATATTTTTTTTTTCAAACTACGCATGGGGGTTACCGAACTTGTTATTACGTTATTTGCCCTTGAACTTGAAATGTTTCGAAGATCATTAGTTATGTTTGAATAACTTTTTATAATACAGTATATATATTTCTATATGAAACTTCAGCATACGCCTTTTAAACTCGATGAGGAAACAGAGTAGAAAAAACGGAATCATTAAAGAATGCACAGAAACGACAAAATTGAAAACATTTGCAGACTCGATTTAGATTGACTGGTACAGTCAAGAAACCAGTTCCGGTACAGGACCAGTTCCTGTTTCTTCAATACCGTTTTCATTGATTTGATTTTTTTGTTGATCATTTAATGCAATGTGTGTCTGTCTAACCATCTGTTTGCACATCATGTCCTTTATTGTTCATGAATTGCCGTCTTTTGTCAAACAATATACATTGAATGAACAGGTCATGTGACGAAACGTGGCCACTGATCGTACTGGTAAATGTACGCTTGCACCCACACACCCCAACAATGGCTATAGCAAAATTAAACATTAAACAGTATGGAAAGTAAAAGACAAGTTGTTAAAAGAAAAGAAACACTCAAAAAAAAGAAGAAAAAAGCAGGCAACAAATCGTTTATCGTTAGGGTGTTCATACAGCATTCAAGTAGGAATATCTGAACCTCCCAACTACAAATAAAACATATAGAAAGAACTTAAGATAGCACAAACAAAACATTAATGTGCTGAACGTTTTTTAAGGATCGAAAATATACATCTTTGATCGAATGATCGGGACAAAGTATACGGGCCTGATCGAAGAACATTTTGGAGTCCGTTTTCGTTAATAATTAATTGTGACCTTATAAAAAATGACACTCTTTTCAGTACATTGTTCCATTATATATATATATTTTTTATGAATCTTGTCTTTCTAGAACATATGTTGAACAGAAGAAGTGACCCAAACCAGCATTTCATTGTCACACAATTTTGTAATGTAGAAAGATGAATTTCAAATTCATAAAAATATATACGCACAAATGATGATTTATTTTTAAAAGAGTTGACTGTATGGCGTGCTTTGGCACAAAAGCATTATTTTTATTGAAGTAAAAATTTCTAGTATTACAAGGAGACTAAGAAACAATATGAAATTCAAATACATCTTTTAAACATTTTCAATGTAGCATGGAAGTCAAGACGATAATTAACCCTTTTGAAATCAATGTAATTAGCTCTTCTTTGTGTCTAAAAATTCCGCGATGCATGTTTTATCACGCAATTAAGCAATAAGACATTTATTATAATAAACAAAGTTGTTTATCAAATAGAATGCAATTTCAATGAAGTATCTGCTTAGTTCGTTGAAATGAAATAGAAGAAGACATTCATTCAAACATTGTCATTCAATTCAGATCGATATTTCTTTAGCAACTTCCTGTTGTAATATAATAGTCGCTCATCTATTTGTGAAATAATTGAGCACAAAAAACCCTCCAAAAACATAACAAAACATGTTTTAACCGTTATAGGTGGTACTTCATATCGCTAAGATAAAATGGGAATATTAAAAGGGAGATTAAAGTTTTGTGGATTTATTATCACTTTTGTTTTACTTGTGAAAGGTAGATATATTAAATAATTTCATATGATTCCTATCTGAATTATTTTTAATTTACATTTAATAAATCTTTAGATCTATGGGCAATTTAAGTTGGAATTACTTTAATATTTGAATTCCTTTTATGTAACGATAAAGGTTGCATTGCTTTATAATATTTCAATTCATAGAAACTGAGGTGTTTTTTCCGTTTTATTTATTTAATCGAAATATTCGGACGAGTATTTTGAAAAAAAAAATCAAATTTTAACCCTCCATGCCTCCTGGTAAGCCAATAAAGCCAAGAAAATCACCCTTACGAATAATGAACTAAGATTTTAAGAAAAAGTAAAAATATTCACAAAACAAGCAATAATTTAATGATTAATATGTTGTATGCAAATATTGTCTGATTTTGCAGTATTAATCAAAATATATCTACTGCGTTACTAACGCAGTAAGGGCTATTTTTGCATATTTTGGCCTTTATTTGGTAGTTTATTCACATTAAACGTGCCATTTGCAATGTGTAAATTACTTTGTTTGTTAACTTGATAATATTTGATATTTTTTATATATATTTTCAAAACTTTATAAAAAATAGAAAAATTTGGAGTTGATCTGTTTTTATAAAAATATTGTGACTTTATTACTTTTCTTATTAATTATTTAATGCTGTAAAATAAAACGATATTAGACTTTCTATGTCTATGAATTAAAAAAAAAACATGTATCATAGTACATGTTAAATCTCACTAACCCCCCCCCCCCCAAAAAAAAAAAAAAAAAAAAACCCCAGCAACAACAACAACAACAACAACAAACAAACAAACCAACAAACAAGCAAAAACATTCAATGGGAAATGTTCGTTCGGGTAATTACAATGTAGGAATACAAGAACAAAAGCTTATATTTCTTCCTTTATGACGATGAAAGCTAAAATAAATAACAAATGGTGTTTAACATTTAAAGGGTATTTTTTTTACTGCATATTCATACTTTATTTTTGTCTCATTCGTATAAATAAATTCATATACATATATGCAATTATTCACATTAAATCTGCATACGATCATTCTATTTAAGAATTTTAGGAGACATAATACATGAACAATGAGAAACATATTCAAGACCTATTACAGTAAGACCAGAATCAAATAGTACAATTAAAATGTATATAAACAGAATATTAAAAGATAGGTAACCATCGCTAATCGAAAATTAAAAACTGCCTAAAAGATGATGTAAGAAATTGAGAACTGTGAATCGGAACCCTAACGCGCGTATAAAAACATTTTAAAAGATCGATTATCATCCAAGATGAGATCTTGCATGAACTGATTAGCAATGATTACTTTAACCTAGGTAAAAATACATTACAGTGTTTAAAGCACGTACAATGGCATTATTTACAAAGAAATAAAAGACAACGTTGTAGAATGTTAAATTCTTTGACATTCTTACAAATGCTTTTTCTACCTTTTTAGCTTATCAAATTAAGATTGTCGCAAGTCATCGTACACAAAGCAAAGCAAATGCATGTATGTTTAGGAATTTTGTAAATAAATGTATCTGTAACATATAATTTAGCTTGATGTTAAATCAACAATAAGCTTATAATGTATATCAAGCTTCAACTTGCGGAAAAATAACTTAACTGTACTGTGAAGTTGGTTTCATATTCCTGTGATCTGTTCCTGAAAAAAGGTTAAGCAAATGAAATTATCTACAAATAATAATATTAATATTAATAATAATAATAATAATAATGATAATAATAATAATAATAAATAATGATAAATAGATAATAAAAGACAGTTATTATAGAAATTAAAAAACAAACAAACAGAACACCACCTCCAAAAAAAACCAACAAAAAACGCAAACAAAACGAACAAATAAAAAAACAACAACAACAAAACATCCTTTAAGAACCACTAAACGCTTTTCGTGTTTGTTAGGTTTAACTTCACGATAATACACCACAAACGCTGTTTGCTTCACTGGGTATTTACAAACTCAAGTTTCTAAATTTATGTACTTTCGCATGGTTGATTTCAAGATATTTACAAATATTTTACCAAGTTCAGATAACCCGATATTATAGTTTTATAATTTTTATCTTGCAAACAATAAATAACCTCATCTATTATTTCAGAAACAAATGCGGTATACAATGATTCATCACAAGGAAACGTTACAGGTAACTTGTACATAATTTTGTTAATTTCTGAAAAATTAAACTCAGATAGGAAAGTGATTCGCCTCTTCTTTTTCGCCTGGCGTTTTAGCTTAATTGTGATAGCTTTTTATTTGTAGTCCAGGGTTCGTTCCTCGGTCAAGACGAAATGTCTATATACCAACGAAATGTTTAACGGTCATTTATTTTTCACACATGAATCAGAAATCTATGGATCACTTGCGGAGATCATCATCATCTTCAGTAATCGCCTCACTCTTCATAGAGCATAATCGCGATGAAGATATTTTGGTATTAACCGTTTGTTTATAAAGGGAAACAGGTAGATGGACCGACCGTTGATAGAAACTGGAAGACGGGGTGGCGTCCAGACTAACCAGGCTTATCTGTACAATCTGTCAAATGTCTATTGGTGACGCATTTCATTAATTTTTTTTGAATGTTCTCTTTTTGTTAATAGCTGGACACGATTTGTATGCGACCTAATTATTTAAAGAAACATTACATACTTTACATTGATCTACTCAAGAACCACTGATTTTTACCTCCCAGAATGCAAAACACTTATATATTTAAGAAATTATTTTTAGACTAAAAGAGCAAGATATTTATAATATGTATTATTATCTTTAAGTTGTTATCATGGTTAGACCATCATTGAAATACCTTCTGTAATGCTGGCTCTCCCATTAAAGTTTAAAGCTAATACCACACACTTAATTGACTTTTTCTTAACCATCGCTTATTATGTAATGGTAATATTACCTTATGTTGTAATGTTTGCATTGAAAAACTGAAATTGACATGACCTTAAATGTGTTGAAATTTTCGAAAAACAAACTAATCTAATTAAGCTTTTGGAAGATCCGAATTGCTTCAACCGTTTTAAAGATTAAATAAGCGTGATGAATTAAGCTTTATGAAAAGTGATATTTGAAACTAATTGAAAGTGAAAAATACAAAATTCGAATGTGCAGTATTAATGAACGATTAAAATGTATTTAAGAAAAGAAGATTTTGTCAAAGCATTAAGTACATTTTATTAGATTATAGCGGAATAGGCATATTAAGAAATGCGACAAGGTTAAACTGCTGATAAATTGCAAATAAACATATTATATTTCTCTAAAGAGTACCGAATGTGTAGGCTAATAAAATATGCGTATACATTAAAGAAAGTAATAGTTGCATTATTTATGAAAGTTTAAGTCTTATTAAAAGGTCTATCTAAATACATGCAAAAGGCATTGCAAACGTAAGAATAATTAAATGAGTACAAGTTCTACTGTTTTATTATATTTAAGGTTGTGGTGATGTTCCAGACATTGATAATGGTGTCATTGTTAGTAGTGTCAACTCAACATATGGTTCACAAGTGAATGTGACATGTGACCAGGGCTTTACTGCGGATAAATCATATATAACTTGTCTAACGTCGGGAGACTGGGACAATGTCACGTGTATTAGAACCGGTAAATGCTCATGCATGTTTTGTTGTGGATTTTATAATGAAATGATAGCATGACATAATAATCAATAATAATCAGTAATGATTTTCATAAGCAGTTAAATATATTATTTCTGTGAAATAATTTCAGTTCTAGTGATCCAAAGGAAAAATTGCTACTGAGACACGATATTTCTTCCATTTTAGAAAGTTGTGGTGAGGTTCCAGAAATTGAGAATGGTGTCATCACTAATAGTGACAACTCATCATTTTATGGTTCACAAGCAAATGTGACATGTGATCAGGGCTTTACCGCTGATAAATCTAATATTACTTGCCTGTCGTCAGGAAATTGGGACAATGTCACATGTATTAGAACAGGTATATGTATATACACTACATTATTGATTGTAAATGTTGAAATAATGTTTACTTTATAGTATAATAATAATCTGTTTTAAACTAACCCTTGAACCATGTTCATGAATCATAATAATAATTGTACATTTTTATGAAACTTTTAAAAGAGAGATCCACAGATAAAATGAGAATTAAAACAAGAAGTTGATCTCCCAGAATTTACAACCCATTAAAATATGGGGAAATAGTGATTAATTAACATCTTACCATTTAATGACTGTATTTAAGGCTGCAGTGATGTACCAGATATTGAAAATGGCAGTGTCTTTGTTATTGAAAATTCAACATTTGGTTCACAAGCAAATGTGACATGCGATCCTGGCTTTACTGCTGATAAACATAACATATCATGTTTGACCTCCGGATACTGGGAGAATGTCACATGTATAAGTGCAGGTATTTAGTTCTATATTAAAATTATATTGTAAACATGTTTGCCAAGCGACAATATACATCACTTTTAGTAAAGTTCTAAAGCTTCTAATGAAACATTTACAATGTTTTCAATGATATTTTGCTTTAGTTCTAATCAATTAACCATTGTTATGAAGCTTCAAAGGAATTGTTAAATGAACGAATTCACAAATTATGATGAACAATTTCGAAAGAATTATCTGAAGAAAAACTCATACAGACATTATGGAATGTTGTGAAATTTGCTATAAATTACACTGTTTCATGAATCTCATGTTTTTGAAGAGTGTATCACAAGTGTAAGTTTATAAAGGCTTCATGAATTGCATTAAATATGTACTTTGGTTTTTGAAAAGTTTATCATGTTAATGCTCTACAAGGAATTGAAATTGAAAATAATGGAATGAGCGCTTGCTACTGAGACACGATATTTCTTCCATTTTAGAAAGTTGTGGTGAGGTTCCAGAAATTGAGAATGGTGTCATCACTAATAGTGACAACTCATCATTTTATGGTTCACAAGCAAATGTGACATGTGATCAGGGCTTTACCGCTGATAAATCTAATATTACTTGCCTGTCGTCAGGAAATTGGGACAATGTCACATGTATTAGAACAGGTATATGTATATACACTACATTATTGATTGTAAATGTTGAAATAATGTTACATAATATTATGATAATAATCTGTTTTAAACTAACCTTTGAAACCATGTTCATGAATTATAATAATAATTGTACATTTTGATGAAACTTTTAAAAGAGAGATCCACAGATAAAATGAGAATTAAAACAAGAAGTTGATCTCCCAGAATTTACAACCCATTAAAATATGGGGAAATAGTGATTAATTAACATCTTACCATTTAATGACTGTATTTAAGGCTGCAGTGATGTACCAGATATTGAAAATGGCAGTGTCTTTGTTATTGAAAATTCAACATTTGGTTCACAAGCAAATGTGACATGCGATCCTGGCTTTACTGCTGATAAACATAACATATCATGTTTGACCTCCGGATACTGGGAGAATGTCACATGTATAAGTGCAGGTATTTAGTTTTATATTAAAATTATATTGCAAACATGTTTGCCAAGCGACAATATACATCGCTTTTAGTAAAGTTCTAAAGCTTCTAATGAAACATTTACAATGTTTTTCAATGATATTTTGCTTTAGTTCTAATCAATTAACCATTGTTATGAAGTTTCAAAGGAATTGTTAAATGAACGAATTCACAAATTATGATGAACAGTTTCGAAAGAATTATCTGAAAAAAAAACTCATACAGACATTATGGAATGTTGTGAAATTTGCTATAAATTACACTGTTTCATGAATCTCATGTTTTTGAAGAGTGTATCACAAGTGTAAGTTTATAAAAGGTTCATGAATACCATTAAATATGTACTTTGGTTTTTGAAAAGTTTATCATGTTAATGCTCTACAAGGAATTGAAATTGAAAATAATGGAATGGGCGATTGCTATTGAGACACGATATTTTTTCCATTTTAGAAAGTTGTGGTGAGGTTCCAGAAATTGAGAATGGTGTCATCACTAATAGTGACAACTCATCATTTTATGGTTCACAAGCAAATGTGACATGTGATCAGGGCTTTACCGCTGATAAATCTAATATTACTTGCCTGTCGTCAGGAAATTGGGACAATGCCACATGTATTAGAACAGGTATATGTATATACACTGCATTATTGATTGTAAATGTTGAAATAATGTTACATAATATTACTTTGAAACCATGTTCATGAATTATAATAATAATTGTACATTTTGATGAAATGCAAATGTAGTGATCTAAGAAATATTGGAAGTTTGATGTCTAGTAAAAGCTTGTAAAAATGTGCCCAGCATTGCAGATTGACAATTCCAAATTTACTTCACAAACAATTGTCGCAAGCTCATGTGACATATGATCCCGGCCTTACTTCGAAAATAACAAATTTTACATTGCATCTCTGAAGTTAAGATAATGACGTGATTATGCACTTTTTACCATTTCGTTAGATGAGTTATAAATGCGATTTTTTTTACCTTATGTATATTTTCAGTGGGTTTTTTATTCACAATTTGCTTTCATTAAAATCCGTTCTTTGCAATGAGTAGTTTTTATATTTATTGATAATAATTTTTGACTTGAAAATGAATAGAAAATGTTGCGTTTTTTCAATATACTGTATATGCATACTTAAATGCTATGGTAGCAAATTAAAGATTTGTATTTTAACAGTCAAACATTGAAATTTATTAATTTTTGTAGCACATGTATAATTACCTACCTTTCTTTTATTTTTTTATAGTTTTTTAAACACCTGTTTTTTTAATCATATCTCGTCGGTCGATCCACAAAACGGGCTTTTCTTGATAACTTAGTGGTAATTACCACTTTCTCTGCAAGTGACCTACTACTTACTCGCATATTTCCTGAACCAACATTGAGACGTTATTATCTTGTACCATGTCATTAGTTCTAATTGTACTTTAATGTAACATGAGCAAATGAAACATTTGAATGGTTGAAATAGTGATCGTTCTAAGGTTTTACTATATCAATAATTTTTTATAGGTTGCGGTAATATAGCCAGATACCTAACAAACGGCGAGATAGAACTGAACGACCCAGACAACACAGCATTTGGGGCTCTAGCAACCGTTCGTTGCAACGCAAATTATGCGCCTGAATTTCTGACAGTAATGTGTAATGCATCCGGAGAATGGGAAAATGCATCTTGTTATCCACTAGGTAAACATTACACCATATGTTGAGTAAACTTTACAAACACCCAGACATGGAGCGAATTACTTGTTGAAGAAATGCTCTTTTGCAGAATTTGTGCATTGAATACGAGTAAGCAATAGCATAACTGTATTTTGTAAAACTAATGCAGACTTAAAAAAAGTACTGCATTAAATTACCATTATTCTATTTAAGTTTTAACAGGCCAATATATACAAGAGTGAAATGTTTATATACATAAACATGTATATATAAAAAAGTAAAAACTATCCACAAACAGTACGTAGAATCAATCTGCTATCAACAGATTCATTGTTACATCTGTGGGATCGTTGGATTGTTACGGTTGCTGTAGGGAAGTTATCTTTAACATGTTTAAAACTGGGAAATAAATTTAATTTTGTTTGGGAATGGGTTATTGGAGGTAGGGAAAACACTTACTGTATGATCACACTGGATGTGGTTCTCTTTCTCTTTTACCCTTCCTTCCGGAATGGAACCATATAACTTTTATATACTTTATTTCATAACAATTATATTAAGGGAACTTATATTTGATTGTTGTCAATACAACAATATAGTTACATCGATAAGTTTATTGCAATAAGTCCAATATCAAGATTGCTTCTATACATCTACAGTGATGTGGAATTAGATGAGTAAACTACCGTACTGAGAAAATACACTTTGGTAGGAATTTCACATATTAAAAAGATAGGTGGGCATGATAATTACGAAAAAGATAAAGACAAGACCAGGACTTTTAAGTTTTGTCTACTTACGAAGCCTGCCAGGAACGTAATGTCATTATTAGAATAATGCTAAAATTGTAACATTGTAAGTGTACCCGTATTTCGTATCTGCATATTTGCATAATTTGGCTCACCAAAACACAAAAGTGCTCAACGTCATGAAAAGTCATGAAACAATACAGGACTGATTCTTAGTAAGTTTTCTACAAAAATTGCTCAAATTGTTTCGGTCCGCTGAACGATATGGTCGTCAAAGCTTACAAGAGAGAACCATTAACCTCTTCCTCAACAACTGGGTAGAGTTTGATGAAAATGAATTGTTGTCTGTATGGTAATGCTCATTAGGTGGTTCTTAACAAAACTTGCTCAAATTGTTCCAGTCTATTGAACCACATAACCACCAATGCTTAAAATAAGCTTGAAATGGCTTCTCTTTCTCAATTGTCAGCTAGATTTTGTTGAAACTCTACAGAAATGACACGTCAGTGGTTCCGTTCTAAAATTTCTATAATTGTTCAACAAAATTATGCCGCCAGAGAAAAAAATAGAACATCTTTGAAAAGGCATATCCTCCAGAACCACACATGTAGTAGATTTTGATATAATTGTACAGCAATGATCATTTAGCTACTCTTTACAACAAAAAATGGCTGACATTGTTTCAAACTTTTGAACAAGAAATATCTGGTTAGCTATTTACGGTCATGATGGCCTTCTTGTTTAAATTAAATCTTTTTAAATTTGAATCTATTTAAAGAATGCAATCTGGACAACTTACCAGTAATCGCAAACGGTGAAGTGATATTTGATTCTAATGGTAACCAGACGACAGCTTCTTCTGTTAATGTCAGTTGTAATCATGGTTACGCAGCAACGTCTCCAGTAGTAACGTGCCAAGGTGGTGGTCAATGGCAAGATAATGTTTTCTGTGTTTTCTATGGTAAGTAAGGACATGATAACCTGCCAATAGAATGTTATGTAGTATCAAATAATGCATATGATTGAATAAAAATGAAATATATTTTACAAATATTTTTGAGCGAATCTTGTGATATATTACATCTTGCGTCCATGCAATCGGCAGTGCATTATAAGTCTGTGTATTTGCATTTATATTAGGTTGATAAACCAAATAGTATGTGAATTGAGGGTTCTTTGTTGGCGGAATAACAGAGAACTTTAATTTAATGAGCACGTTCAGTTAACGTTTTATAATAATTCATATCATATCCATGTTTTTGTAACTATTAGACTAAGTGATATTAAAGCAAAGGAGCAGATCAATGAACTATTTTATGATGCTACAAGGAAAAACATGTCTTCAAAAAGTCTGATAAATGAATGATTTGAATTAAAAATGTTTAAATGTAATGGGAAAAACACAACACAGCAGGGTTGCATTAATGCAACAAAAAAAATTATAACGGTTATGACGAATGTTTTCAAGAACATAATATAAAGTCATCAAAATGTTTATATTGATGTTCATTTAGAACAAATGCTTCAAACATTGTGTTTGTACATTAACTGAATTGAACTTAATTGAATGCCAGTCCAATTGTTTTCAGATCTAGGCGTGGCTATAGTACAAACAGGTCAGACTATTCACAATGGGCAATATACGGGCTACTTTAAATGTGCGTTTACTATCGCCGATGGTCTTAAATACCGAATCAAATGGTAGGATATTAAATTGTCATTTCTGTAACATCTTCTCTGAAATTGTCAGCTTTGCGTTCTTCGTGCATAGTTGAATGAAATAATTTATTCAATTTGATATTTCCATAACTCTTCATTGGTTTGCAAATTTATTTGATGACTACATATGAAAACATGGGAGACTTAGTATGCTGTTTAAGGGAGCGGTTGCCTAATGGTTAAGGTGTCTGCCTCTCAACCCAATGATCATGGGTTCAAGCCCTAATCGGGTTACGACCAAGTTTCTTCATATGACACCAGTACTGGTTGGTTCAAGAAAGCGGACTCGAAAGTGATTTATATAAGTTGCAAGAATTTTTTTCGCAATTGACCTTGAATAAATATCGTTAAACCAAGTATGATATTGTATTGTTTAGGTATGTGCACGGATTTGAGTTTTATGACACCGGGATAATAACGTCGACAGATGCTTCAATATCTATGCTGTCAGATGACATGTTTAGTAATACAGTAACAAGTTATGCTCCATTTTCAGAATTCTTTAACTTACAGGTAAACTTTTAATGCTGACATTTAAGTAGTTTTAAGTATTTTCGCAAAATGATTCTTAAAATTTAACAAGAACGCAATTAAAATGCCATTTTCCTTTACTAAATTTCTTTATAACGTCTTGGATATAAAATACAACAAATAAAACAAATTATGATAAAATATTTTTTTTTAAATTCCAGATAAAAATTATAAATCTGAATTGCAATGTTGGTACCATACTTTTTTTTCAAATGTCAAAATGTTATAAATTGATGTAACATGCTGATTATTAGCTTTAGATTATCTATCACAATAATTGTATTTTGAATGAAGTTACTTTTGAAAATACGTCTATTTATTTCCTTTTCCGATATTAGGTGAAATGTTCGGCAGCAGTTTATGATGGCGCCGGGGAAACTGAACATGAAAATATTACAAGCATAGAGATGACCCCTCTGCAAGTAAGATTTATGGTACCATTGTACCCTCATTAATGTCTACCAAACAAATAAACATGTCATCACTTCGTAAATGCCGCTTCTTTTTAAAATACTGTAAAATATTGGTGTGTGTCAGTGGGTGTGTAAAATTTAATTGGCATTATGCCTATCCAATCGTAAATGGTGAGTGCACAGGTAAAAGTAAAAATGTTTTTATATATTTTCATCATTGTGTTCAATTTTGTATTTTTCTTTGTAAACATATTTAATTATCTACGTGTTCCGTGAATATTTGAATAAAGATTGTTCGGAATGTATCAACAACGTTCAATTTTTAATAAGAATTTTTATAATTTAGGAATTTTTCATATTTTATTCTTAACAATTTTTTTATTATCTTTTATTTGTCAATCACCATTAAAAGAGTCAATCTTCTAGAATATATAACAAATGTAAGTCAATTTGACAGTGAAATAATGAGCCTAATGTCGCTTTAAAGATGCGATTAGGTAGATTTGATTATCTGTTTTTGCTAAGTACATGAAGTTTGCACAGAGATCGATATTAGACTTTCAGCTCGACATTCGATTAATCAATATCGAGATTGGATTGGAAGCTGGCTAGACACTTAGCAAACATTCAGCTCGACATTCGATTTATCTCTGTTGAGCTGGAATGTACAGCTGGCTAGACATTCAGCACAACATTCAGCTCGACATTCTTATTTAGTTTGTTTCTTGTTGAATGTTGACCTGAGATGAGAAGCTGGCTAGTCATTCAGCACAGCACTAAGGTCGATATTCCCTTTAATAGTCTCTTTTGAATGTCGAGCTGCGATGTGAAGGTGGCTTGACATTCCGCACAACATTTACCTCGACATTCGTTTTTATCTCCTTTTTGAATGTCGAGCTGGGATGTGAAGCCAGCTTTACATCCAAGCACAAAAGTGATAAATCGAATGCCGCTGAATGTCTAGCCAGATTCCCATCCCATCTCGACATTGACATTTTTTAATTTGACATCAGTTCAACTTCCTTCATATCAGTAAAATTTAAATGTTCCCTTGTAATATTTTTTGTCGTTACAAGATTTCAACAAATAGCATAACAATGATGAGAGGAAAGGAAGCTACGTTCACAGTTTACCTCAATTTCCCCTTTGGCTGTTCCACTGACACACCAGAATGTGCTCTTAGATTCATTGTCTACGATCCAAACGATTCCTATCACTGCTATGACTCATCTATAGCAGTTATACACAGCGACACTTGTGGCGGGAAAGTAGACGGTGCCACTCCAGCAACACTTAGCCATGTGTCAACAGCAAACACATTCACAAATATAACGATAACAACCAAAAATAATCGCTGGTACCGACTTCGTTGGAGATTCTCTCTTGTTCTGAAGCTAGCAGCTGTTGGAAATTCAAAAGCGTTGTGGAATTCACCATCAACAAGTGTCTCGGTAATATATATATTGTATTTATCAGCATGTTCAATATAATACTTATCAGTTGGTATTGTATGCAAGCTGTTTTATTTTAGGTTAAAGAAAAAACAACGTATGTTGAACTTAAATGGCACGTTTCTTCTCAAAATGCTATGTAAACTATTTCAAATTTTAACTGTTTGTCTTCGTTGTTGCAAACAAAAACAGCTTTTAGTTTTTCCGTCCTGGCTATACAGGAATCGTTTTCTTACACAAGATTATTTCATTTTACATACTTATAGAGGTAATTCTAAAACGCGTTAAGAAAACAATATTATATATTTTTTACGTTGGATGGACGTTTAAACATTTTCTTAACTGTTCATGATATTATTCTGTACGTTAAGGTAACAGTGACAGAAAATTACTACGCCAGATACCGAGGCTGTTACTCGTTTGTCGATCCGTACATCTACACCTTTGATAGGAGGTATTTTTTGTCATCATTTTCTATTAGGCATAAAGCAAAATTGCACGATCACTTATAAAAGTTGTTTGCTCTTGCCATTTGTGATGAGGCAGTCAAAACTAGATTTAAGAATCTTATTCATCTAAATAAATTATAAACTAACTAAACCCAGAAGGTAGACAAATAAAAAACACATCAACATAGTAATACTTTATAAATACTTTATTTTTAGCAAACATCAGATATATAACTGTTGACATCAGGCCATAAGTTTGAAAATGGTTAACAGAATATGATAAATATAGTATTCCTTATGGTTACTTATATCTTAAGTGTTTTATTAAAATGCATGTTTATTACCGCAGGTGGTACTCGAATCAACTGCTTGAGGAATTTGTTCTGTACCGACATAAAACGCTTCCAATCGAGGTTTGTTTCTTTACGTTGAAAGTCATTACTGCAAAGAAAATGCAAAATATAAAAATCTGTTCCCAAACATATGCAACAAATAATCTTGTCCATACATAAGGTCAATATAAGATTACTATGTACATTTTATTTCGATTTGCAAATCTCTAAAAAGGTTTATTAATGTGGAAACTAAAAGAAATGTCAATATATTTCTCTTGATAAGCATAATTCTACGACGCCACATGTCAACTGCAATGTTATTGTGAGTTAAAGATTAACAATATTTCTATATATTGACAAGGTTCAAACAGTAACTGCTGGTTGCAATCGCTGGGCGACATGCTCTTGTGCAGTGACGGTGCGTGCTGGTGGAGATGTGTTTACAATCAACCACTGCTCCGGTCACCTGTCAACTTTCCTTTCGGCAAAGGATGGTATTCTGAAGGTTTATAGATTATGGAGCACTTATTACCGGGTAATACTTTAAAAGCAAACATTCTTTGATTAAAACAAATGAATAAGCAATATGCAATAAAGTTTAGAAATACTGTATTTGAAGAGAAGATAAAGTGGCATGAAAGAAAAATCCATTAACGATTCTGACATGCAGCTTTGCTTATTAGTGTATACATGTATTTTTATGAAATTTTGATCATACCTTGATACTGTCTGATGTTATTCTTTGTATATTTTATGCTCAAAGCAACGTCCATTAGATGTTTATAGTACTATTAGTTGCGCAAATATTGTTCCGAAAAAAAAAATATGATCACAAAAAGACATTAATCTACTTTTTCAAATACTACAGTTGTGTAAAAAATAAATATGTTTTTAAGTGATAAATGCATTATCTCTAATTTAATAAGTATTTAATTTCTGTAATTTCTTATTGTAAGATAATCCTCCCGACGGGAACGGACGTGTATGTATATGTGATGTCCTACTTTAACTACATGATGAATGTTTATGTCGTACCGACACCGTCGGACTTTGAGCAGACGGAAGGGCTATGTGGGAATTTCAACGGTGATTTTAGGGACGATACTATACTTCGCGGTACAACCCAGTCTGATCCGGTCGAGTCAAGTTATGGCTATTGGTGGTGGTGGAGTGATTACTTCTTCCCTCATCAGTTTGCCTATTCTTGGGGGTAAAGATATTAACATATCAGCTTATATTAATTTATATTTACAACTTCTTGTAACTACGTACACACCAAAGTAATACAAAAAAATATTAAAAGTTGCCTACAATATCGTTTTGATCGTCCAACAGTATTTATAGTATAAAGTTCCTTTAATTGTTATTATGTGGTATGAGTAGGTTATAAAAGACTTATAAATAGAACGTTACCAATCGCCTCTGATCAAAGTGAACAATTTGTCGGTGAGGAAAGTATCCTAGCTATACAAATATATATTATGTCTATAAACGCGTATGTTTAATCCATGTTTAATTGATGATTATGTACCAAAAACTTCTACTTTAGCGGGTGGTAAAACTCGTTTAACCGATGAATCGTTTATCTAATGTCATAAGTATAGCTAAAGTACGACATAATATCCATGTGCTCCAAGTACATTTATTGTAAACTATATTATATTTTCGATACATGACAGTCGTTAATACACTTGCAAATCTCGATTTATAAGGATCTGTGTGCATCTACAGTTTGAAAGTTAGCCTGTCATCAAGCCATGAATTTAAAGTGACATCAATTGTTATGCGCATTGTATTTGAATTCTTTTGGAGGTTTCACAGAACCAGTAGTAATGTAACCGTCAAGTTTTATATTCTTTTATTTAATAGCCTCGTGTTGACGGGTAGACAAGACGAAAGCCTTCTTAATCCTGATGTTTACGAAAACGTCCAAAGCTGGGATAGTAATAAGAAATTATGTGTGTGTCCGGACGCGAGAACCGGGAGTAACTATGACGCCACGTGCTCCGCAGACGAAGAAGCGATATGCACTGGATATGTTTGGCATTGGGGTACTCGCATAAGTCCTCAAACAAGGGATAAACGTGACGTTGATGGCGGCCGAAAACATTCGAAAAATTTTGAAACAGACATTAAAAAACGATTAGACAGAATGAGAAAGAAATGGGAAAAATCGCGTGAGGAACACACGTTATTACGAAAGGTTATCATTTGGATACGCTATTTTCTTACATATTTTATCATTGAAAGCATTTTACTTCAGCTGAACAAAAAGGAAGTAATCAAGCATTGTCTATTTGAATGAAGTTGACTAAAATAACCTCTTTTGTTCGACAACGAAACGTTAGTAATGTAGTAAAACATTACTGTGCAATTAACACTGGCATTTCAGTTATAACAAATATATAATCGTCTTTTATGATGCTATGTCGTAGGAAACCAACGCGCTAATTTCCCTGCATTTTTTCTATGTAGAAACGGTCAGTAAACAATACCACAACAATATCAATGGAGGAAGCAGAACAACTGTGTGAAGAACAATTAAACAATAATTGTAATACGTACTCCAAGAAAGATGACGTCAGCGATGTTGCAGAATCAAATGATACTCTCGAAAACTGTGCACGTGATACGGCGGTAAATAGACACCTTGGAAAGCAATAAACATAAAAAATTGTTCTTTTTACAATATATTTAAACAAAACGAGAGGGCACAGTTAATTTACTGATATACTTGAAAAAAGGCTTTCATCATACTAAATATTACTCACCTTTCATCATTTAATGTGAACCTTTTGTCACCAAAAGTTAAAAATGAAATCAGTCCTGCTTATATCATACATATTCAACTTTTTCGGTATAGTGAAGCTTTCATCATATATCATTTTATGAACTGTTCTTGTTGTCTCATCTAACAGTTTTCCCCCTGAATATGACAATATACTAAATAATTCATTAGAGAATCTCAATTGACTGACTGGGGACATTGTGTAAATTTACTTTTTAGATAAGTGGGACCACAGAATGGGTCACTCCTCATTGTGACGCAATTACACAGAAAGTTACAGTAGAGATTGAAAAAGATGTTGAATTTGCCGAGAATAACACTGACTTGGTTGATAATATCAAAGAAAATTCCTGTCCGAGTAATTGTAGCGGACACGGACAGTGTGTTAACCGTAAGTACATTAATTTGAATTTAGATAATCTGCTAAAAATATGATAAATTAAATTGCTTGTATGACTTCCTATTTTCTAAATTCTACTTATTCCGTCAACGTCCAGAAGTCATGATCAAAATGTTGAAATATACTTTTGAGTTTTATGTAAATTTTTGTTGTACTTTAAAAATCAACACCTTTTCTAGATTTATTTTTTGAGAGTCAAAAGAATACAGTTTGTTAAAAAAACATTAAATGGTGAGGTAATGGCTTATAATATATGATACGCATATAGCAGATTGAAAAATGTTGATACCTCTATACTACCTGTTTGTTTTTCTCAGTTGATTCATTGAAAATATTGATATTAATATTTTAGCAACAGACGCACATTTATTGAAATTTGTCTTTTCATAAGGTATATGTTCCGTTGATTTATAATTTTCAGAAACATGTGTTTGCTTCCAAGACTTTGGAACAGATCTTTGTCTTTTGAATCTTACTCTTGGTCCATTGATCGAAGAACTTGCAGACGAAGGAATTTGTGACGTCAGTACGGGAAATGAATGTGACTTTATTCTTATAGTCGGGAATGGCTTTGTTGATACTGCAAAATGTAAATTGGCAGTCTATGTGGTATGTTTCTAGCAATTCCTTATAGTAATAAGATAAAAAGTCATGTACACAATGTTTTTAATCTTAAAACAATGGTAATTACTTTGTTACCTCTGGTTAAATCTGCTATTTACCAATTTTTCTTTAGAAAAAAAATCAATATTCAATTCCCTTAAGGATCAATATATATTTTAATACAATTTTATTTCATTTATACATAATTATGCAAAAAAAGTATTATGGTGACATAGTTGTAACAAATGGAATATTAAGATATTCTTTAAAACATTCTGAAAGCATATTTATTATAAAAAGTATAAATTTTCGAAAAAAAAAATACAAAAAACAACAACAACAAAATTTTCTCGAGCTAACCATTTAAAGACCACTTGCCCAATTCCTTTGCAGATTCAAATTTATACAAGTTTGGATAGTCTTCCTTACCCATTATAAAACCAAAAGCTCTGACCCGATCAATATGACCGTGAGATTTCCGTGTGGTATTGGCGTTTTCCTGATTATCGAATTGTTCTTTGTCTATAAAAATGACCATTAATACACCATTTTCACGATTCAACCGTTTAAACACCACTTGTCCGATTCCTTTGCAAATTCAATTTTGTACAATTTTAAATGGTCTTCCTTACCCATTATAAAACCAAAGCCCTGTTCCAATCAAAATGGCCATGAGATTTCCGCGTGGCATGGTCATTTGCTGGATCGTCGATTTGTTCTTTGTGTATATAAATGATCGTAAAAGGCACCATTTTCTTGACCCAACCGTTTAAACATCACTTGCCTTGTTCCTTTGCTTATTCAATTTTGTACAAGTTTGGAGGGTCTTTCTTATGTTGATAAAAAAAGTGAGCACTATTTCGGCGCCGCCCCCCATCCAAAAGGAAAAGAAAAGTTTTCGCCAAGAAAATTTTGGACTTGTGAGAGGCTAAAAAAGACTCCAGGTCAATAATAAGGTAACGTGTAACCAACGCTGAAAAGCCTTTGGCTCTATCTGAATCCATTGAGAAGTTGAAGCACTTTGAAATCAATTTTGATGGAGAAAATCAACGCAAATAGTGATTTTTGGCAATTTTGAGATTTCCCCTCGTTGCCATGGTAACAGGATGTTAAAGACTGAGCATGTTGTTACAAAGGCGATGGACCAGTTAAAATTTGTGCCGAATTTGATTAGTATTGAAGAAGTTTTTATAGCTTTATAGTAATTTGAACTTGTAACGGGAGACTTTTCAATGAAAACCGCCATTTTTCACAAAATGCTCATGCAGTAATGGGTTAAACAACTCTTGACCGATTCCTTTGCAAATTCAATTTTGTACAAGTTTGGAGGATCATCCTTACACATTTATAAAACCCAAAGCCCTAACCCAATAAATATTTCCTTGAGATTTCTGCGTGTCATGATCTTTTTCTGGACCGTCGATTTCCTCTTTGTGTAAATATATGATCGTGGAAAGACCCATTTTCTCGAGCCAACCGTACCAGTCCGATTTCTTTTGCGAATTTGATTTTGTATAAGCTTGGAGGGTCTACCTTACATATTATTAAGCACAAAGCCCTAACCTAATCAATATGTCCCCGAGATTTACGCGTGACATAGTCATTTTCTGGACCGTCGATTTGTTCTTAGTGTATATAAATGATCGTAAAAAGCACCATTTCTCGAGCAAACCGATTAATCACCACTTGTCCGATTACATTGCAAATTCGATTTTGTACAAGTTAGGAGGGTTCATCTCAAATATTATAAAACACAAAGCCCTAGCCCAATCCATATATCCGTGAGATTACCGCGTGGCATGGTTGTTTTCTGGACCGTCGATTTGTTCTTTGTGTATGTAATTGATTGTAAAAATCACCATTTTTTTGAGCTAACCTTTTTAACACCAGTTGTTGTCTGATTCTTTGGCAGATTTGATTTGTACAAGTTTGGAGGGTCTTTCTTACACATTATAAAGCCCAAAGTCCAAATCCAATCAATATGTATGTGAGATTTCCGCGTGTCATGGTCGTTTTCTCGATCGGCAATTTTGTCTTTTAGTATAATAATTTATGTTTATTAATAAATATTGTTATAATATAAAAAATAAATTTCATACCGATACTTGTATAATTCTTTCTTTCATTTACAAGGCTGGCACCGATGGTAATTTTAATATGACCGAAGAGTTTGAAATTAATTGCACTTACACAAGTTACAACGAACTATATGCCCAGGTACCCGAAATTTCAAATTCATCGGAGGATACTAACTCTACGCTAATTGCCCAGATGGTTAAGATATCTGTAAGTAACGATGGAACAAATTTTGGTCCACAGCAAACAGTCGTTGTACTTGATACCACGTGCCAGGATAGCCACACAAACACTGACAATGAAACAATTGTTACTTTGAAAGTAAGTTAAACAGTATACATTT